AGTTCAATGAAATAATGATAATCTGTTATCTTAGTGTTTAATGAAAAGTTTACTTAAACAATAAACCATTGATTTCCGCGTGGTCTGATAACTTAAACTTAAAATTATCTGTTGGTAGGCTACATAACAAAATATATATATTTATCACTTAATAATCTCGTGTTGTTAATAATATACATGTTTTATTTAACTGATAAATTCGTACATTTTAAATATTGACATTCATAACTAAATTCGCTTGCAAAGAAACATTCCTTTTTAAAAATTATCAAATATGAACTAAAATATAAACTTATTTTTTTATTTTAATATAGGTACATAACTGTATTTAGATTTGAAAATTACACTTTATATACTCTGTAAAATCACACTGCTTCGGTGATGCAGTGGTAGCGTATGCGACGGATGTGTTGAGGTCTCGGGTTCGATTCCTGGGTCGCACCAAATGTTTGTATAATGTGTAAATTTTTTTTCGGAATTAGGGTGATGGTTTTTTTATGTATTATATGTATTTGTAGTAGTTGTCCGTGTAGTGACGGATTAAGAATACGGAATGTCACTACCCCAATTCATCCCGTGGGTGTCGTAAGAGCCGACTAAGGGCGCAATACAACGCAGGACACCAGCACTGCAAAAAGAAGGAAAACTTGACACAAACCCTATACCAACCCGCCTGGCCAGCGTGGTATAGTAGGCCAAAACCTTCTTTCTAAGGAGAGGCCTATGTCCAGCAGTGGACTATTAAAGGCTGTTGATGTGATGTGTGATGTATTTACAAAAGTAAAGTATATAAGTATTCTATCAGTCAATCTAACTCTCATAGTACAAAGTTTGAAACTAGATGGCGTTGTGTGTCAGATGTCCGAAAATATTAAAAATATTATCTTACACACGGCTGTCTGATGTCAAACTAGGGAACCAGGTTACTTACAAACACATATTTATGTACATATAAACATATTATAGATGAAATATAGACAGACAAACATACACACAGAACGAAAGATCATGCTTATCACGCAATTAATGGTCTTAGGTGGTCCGTGTGGTGACGGATTAAGAATACGCACCACCCCTATTCATCCCGTGGGTGTCGTAAGAAGCGACTAAGGGAGCGAACTACGCAGGACAACAGCACTGCAAAGAGAAAGAAAACTTGAAACAAATCCTAAACCGACCCGTCTGGCCCGCGTGGTGTAGTATGCCAAAACCTCCTTTTTAAGGAGAGGCCTATGTCCAGCAGTGGACTGTTACAGGCTGTTCATGATGATGATGATTGACGAGGTGGGAATAGAATCTACAACCTCTGACTCAGCACTCAAAGTAACTAACAAAGAAATCAACAGGCGTAGGATGAAATAAATATTATATAATTAACAATTTACTAAAGTTATTGACATACTTATTTGTTTATTGTTATTTGTTCCAAATACCTCTACACTGTTTAAAAAACTGCTTAAATGTTTAACTTCAAAATGACGACGTAAACATTTGTATTAAAAAAATGATGACTCGACGACCGTCGATCCTCTGATTTAATACAGGCATTCATTTTTAGATTAGGTTATTTCTTTTACTATTTTATCTTTAACAGTGATCTATTTAACAACATAATACTACCATAAAACATTGTTAGTCGCTTTTGACGGGGTTTAGAAGCATTACGTCATAATTTTTTTGGAAGAACTTGGGGCAAGGAAAATTGATAAGAGGGCTTGGGTAAGGGATACCTCAAATCTTGAATATAGAGTGTGAACTAAGATCGCAGTTCTCGAAAAGGGTGGGGGTAGCGTACCCATTAATATGTCCGTGAACAGGTTCCTAGGACAGGTGTCAACATGCCATATGACTGGACTGTTGGTCTAGTGGTTAGTGACCCGTATTGATTGAAAAATGAAACTTAGCTAGATCGATTAATCGCCCCCGAAACCCCCTGCATACTAAATTTCATGAAAATCCTTGGAGCACTTTCCGAGATTCAGTTGTATATATATATATACAAGATTTGCCCTTTTAAAGGTATTAGATTTAATGCTTTATTCACAAAAAAAAATGTACAAAGGTTAGGTGATTGATTAGGAGCACTAAACTTGAATAAAAACTTAAATAAAAAGTTTCAATAACAAGACTTAACTAAGAAAGACATTCACACAAAAAGATAAGCGAAAAAATGATGATAGAAAAATCATATTCACTATCACTTTCTTACACACATACATATACCTACATATATATGTACGTAAAAACATATACATACATTTGCAGAATTCGTAAAATATATTTGGGATCATTTGTACTGTGTCTGGGTGCAATTTATCTGTAACCTGTTTGTATTTAGAAATATAAAAGTATGTTGATTAGCAGTTTGGTTACCATAGTATAGGCTCTGCCTTGATTGGGATTACACTACCGTAAAAGGCGAAGTCTATCATATCTCTAGATCAGCGTATCGTGACGTAAGAGAGACAGGCCGATCTATGATCTAACTAGGTCTAGGTTTAAAATGCATACAGAGCATAAATCCGCTGCCGAAGAAGGTTTGATAGTTTACTATATGCTTTATTTTTGATCCTTTCACTAAATATCAAAGCTTTAATTGAAACTGTTCGTGTGCTGACGGATTAAGAATCCGAATTGCACTACCCCTATTCATGATGTGGGTGTCGTAAGAGCCGACTAAGGGAGTAAACTGTGAGGGATAACAGCACTGCAAAGAGAAGGAAAACTTGAACAAACCCTAAGCTAACCCGTCCGGCCAGCGTAGTATAGTAGATCAGAACCTCCTTTCTAAGGAGAGGCCTATGTCCAGCAGTTGGCTATTAAAGGCTGTGGATGATAGTAAAAATTCTATTCTCGTTGCCTAGATCACCTTAGCAATCGTTTGTTAAATTTAAAAAACCAACAGGCTATATTGATTTATGATCCGTTCAACGGTTCACGATTCAAATAATTTAAACTGAATGTAATTATAAACCAAACAACGATTAGTGTCAAAACCTTAACCTTTTTACAAAGAATTTAATGTATTTCTCAGTAATTGATAACTTTGTACAACTATAGAGTACAATAAAAACTAATTGAGGGTTTTATTAAATTAATTTACGGTAGCCATGACACAGCGATTTAAGGGACATTATCTTTTAAGTCATCGCTTATGATGAGTCCATCTTATAATTAGCAAGTCATGAGGCTGCCCTCGTAACGTTCTGTGTGCCTAGTGTAAGTTTATTTCACATCTACACGCTCTCGGCGGCGAGCGCGTTTAGCGTTCGGTTGCGATTGGTGGAGATTTTAGTGCGGGCCAATCGCAACACCGAACGCTGTCACCGTGACTAGCGAGTTGAAATGAAGTAACTTGGCCCTCTGTTGATCGAACAATTCTCTTAAACAATTCCGACTCAGTCTGAAGACGGACGTATTCAGACCGGATCAATCGGATATACATTTGTTTGAACCACCGTCCATCCATCCATCCGTTCAAGTCCGTCTTTATTCTAAAAAAAATCAGAGAATCAGCTACTGTTCTATCGTTTAAAGAAAATAGAACGAGACGTTGCCTAGATGGCGCTGTAAGGTATTTCAGTAAATACCTCAACTCTACCAGTGATTTTACCAAGTTTGTATAATTTATTTACGACTATCCTACATATTAAATACATCAAGATATTTTTTTTGTGCCATTTTTTAACAAACATTTTGCACGGAAGCATATTATTTTAGGAATTATATTAGGAATACTTAATATTATGTTAAGTGGCTTAATGTTGTTAAATATAATTTAGAAAAGGTAAAAAATATATGTAAACACTGTTAATATGTTTCAATATATAGTTTTTGACCCGTCATGGTACAAAAGTCATAATGGTCATAAAAGAATACAGAATTAAGGCTCATTAGAGCGCCCGACACCCAACCACCATCGTCTCGCCTCAAGCAGTTAGTTCTTTTTATTTGGTACTGTGGGTATACTCTCACTACATCAACGCTTCGCCAACTGGTTAACCACACGCAGACGGCGAGTGGGCCACCCGGTGACCGCGCGCTGCTCGCGAGTGGTTCACCGCGAGGACAATGCATTGGCGGCACGTGGACGAGTGAACAACGAGTCGAGGTGGTGCTGGTCGGGTGTCGGGTGGGTGTAATGAGCTATGACCTTTACAGTTCAAGTTATACTGATAAATTAAATTAAATAAAACATTCAAATCGGCCGGTTTGACCACCAGTTTATTTATTTAGTATTAGCTACTACATATAATATCACAAAAGAACCTGCATAAAATGACCATAGCTTTAACTTTATTCCATAAATTAATCTATTTTGTACTAGCTGTTCCAAATAGTTTCACCCTCGTTTATGGTCATAACTCTACTCCTAGGCCTCATAGAGTAATGTTACGTACCCTATAATATTCTTTAATAAATAGTCTCCAGAATACAAATATATTTTTTTGAATGCAATATTCCGTTTCAGAGTTTATCACCATTTAACAAATTATCAAACAAAAAAATAAATTATAAATTATATTGTGAATCAAAAACCTCTGGCCACCCTACTCAAATAGTTTACACTTAATTGTAGATATTAATCATAAATCCTTGAACAAGTAGACTAAGTGGAATATCGCACTAACTAGCCGGAAAATATGTTATCATGTACTAAGTTATACATTACAATACAATGTTTTACTACAATGGCATGTATTTATGTATTTAGGCTTGAGATGATTGGATAACGTGGTAACTGACATTTGGGTGTAACCTCGGGTTGTTTTAATTACTTAATGGTAGAAGTTTTTTCTACAATTATAGAGAAGGATTCTTTTTAAATATATTTAAAACATTAAGTAATGATATTGATTACTGTGATCAGTAATTTGTGTTCTGAAGTTTTGCTCTAAACCTCATTGCACGCCACTAAACCACATCCACGGTTTTACTATATGGTTATACCTACCCTATGAATCTAAGCGTGATTATATATAGCACATAACCCTTTTATTTTATTTTTTAAATTGGTTCAAAATGTCTTCCCGGTCGTATGCTTCATTGCTGAAGATGGTGTCCATTCTGAAGTGTCTTACCATAGCCATCATCATCACTGTCCGGTCTTGGGCTGTTCTGAGCTCGGCAGTTAATAGGAGTCCTGGTAGTGTTGATCTAATCAGACCATCGACTGGGTATCCTTTTTCTTCTACTTTTCCATCTACCACCAGCTTGTCAAGATTATCCGGCTGGCTCATGGCAAAATATATTGGAATAAAAATTATCTTTTTTATATTCATTAGCAATTAATCTTAAAAACTCGCTGCACCGTCGACTACTACTGTCTCTCCGAAACATATTGATCCATCCTAAGGTTGCCTAAGATTGCTCTTAGCAATAAGGCCTCCCTTTGTAAATTATATATCTGACATTTTTATGTACAATACTACTCTATAAAACAAATAAAGAGTTTTATATCTATCTATCCTATGTTATAAATTGAGAACAATGGTTCGGTTGTGGTTTTATGGTTGATCAAAAGTCCAATATTACATCTAATGCAGAAATTCAATACTTACCACAAGTTAATACAATAGGTAATAATATAAATGCGTCAATGGTTTCGTATGATGATAGACAATCTCACATAAAGTGATGAAAATTTAACACTATTTAGATATTGTTACGTCAAGTACGTGATACGTGACATTTTAAAAGGGGTGGGATTTAAATTTCAAATGTGTGTATAGTAGTGTAAAAGCTGGAATTAGAAACGTGATTAATTGAACAGGGGTGGAAAATATATTCTTTATAATTGGTAGTTCGAGTATATTATAATATTTAAGATTAAAAAAAAACAAGATTTAGTAACAGTATTATATATAAATACAATACTAAATTTAAAAAAACACGCTTAAACAAACATCAATTTGTTTTTTTTTAATATTACTTTGCTGAACTCTCGTTTGAAATCTAATATCCCTCTAAATTTCATTACAACTTAATGGCCGATCTCTGTCTGATGGTATGCGCACGACTTGTTCAAACATAAATGATTCATAGAGTACCCTCATTTCTAAAGGCTTTAGTTACCATTCTTATCTGCACTCTTACTTAGGGTCCGTATCCATTAGGCGCGCATAATTAATTACGAATAATAATTGTAGCGCAACACGTAACAGCGAACACGTTTAGCAACGTTGCGCAACAACGGGTCACATGTACTTGAGTATTAAATATTGTTGTGATCTTTATCAATAACATTGGACCTGTTGATCTAGTGGTTAGTGACCTGACTATTAAGCTAGAAGGCGTGTGTTCGATTCCCAGGGCAAATAACTGTGTGATGAGCACGATCATTTGTTCTGTGTCTAGGTGCACTTTATCTATAATAAAATGTATGTATTTAGAAATATTTAAGTATGTTTGTTTTAGTCTGGTGTATAGTACAGGCTCTGCCTAGTTTGGAATCAGACTACCGTATATCATCATCATCAACCATCAACAGCCTTTACTAGTCCACTGCTGGACATAGGAAAGAAAGAAGGTTTTGGCCTACTATACCACGCTGGCCAGACGGGTCGGTATAGGGTTTGTTTCAAGTTTTCTCTTTCCAGTAGAGTTGTTCTGCGTAGTATACTGCCTTAGTCGGCTGTTACGACACCCTCAGGATGAATAGGGGTGGTGACACTCTGTATTCTTAATCCGTCACCACACGGCAATACCGTATATAAGATGTATGAAGTATTTATTATTACCAATCGCTGCAATCTAGATAAACAATCTTTGCTTATAAAATAAAAGTTCCGTATTAACGTTTAATATACGAGCAACATGTAGTGCAACAAGTAGCGAGTTATTTTTTGCCAAGTGGATAAAAGCCTTTATACACATAGACATTATACACATAGATATTGTATATATACATAGACACTTTAGCATAGGGTATCAAAGCTATTGGAATACAAATTTCAGGACATTCCATAACATTTCTTTAATATTATTTGATCAGACGAATCTTTAAAAATAAATTTAATTTTTAAGACACAAAGATTACTTAATTTAACTGTTTTATACTTATGCCTGTATTATCCAAATGTCAAAAAATCATGAAGAAATGAATACTTCTAATTTTACGTATTTTCCTTTTGTCAATTTATTAGTGTTGTCACGTAGAGGGCAAGAATATTACTGTCAATTACTGTCAAACAAACCTTTAAACCTTTTGAAAACATTGTTTCTAAAGCTAATGACATCTTCAGAACAATAAAAACTAATAATAAAACGTATTAAAGTTAAACTTAGTTATATTTCAACAAACTAGGCTCACGGGTATATTAAAAATTGTATTATAAATTAGAAATCTAGTCCATCTGAAATTCCAGATTAACGGTTACCCTACTTTTGTTTCCACTCGTATGAAATTACACCCGGCAAGACTCAAATCTGAAGCTATTGTGCCAACACTGACGTAAATTACCACTTTCATGACCCATTTATATGGCGCTAACTTTTGCCTCGGCTTCGTTCGCGTCTATGAGGATTTTGTCAATCAATTATTGCAGGATAAAACTAGCCTCTGTGTCAATCTACCTCGATGCCAAGTTTCATCCAGATTGGATCAGGTTTAAATGTTCAAATAATTCAAAGTATTTTGAATCTTAGTAATTCACATTAAGATTCAATATTCTTTATGCTGCCTATTCAAAAGCATGGATGACGTAATAGGTGAAGTGGTCACTTCACTAAATGCCAGTAGAGTAATGTGGGCTCATTCTTCTTCTCACTTCTATAGATCTTTGTCACAAGACATATCTTACTCTATGACCATGTCAATATCCATCTCGACTCCGTAGATCATAGCAATCATAGTCGAAAATCTTGTTCGTTGCAGTATGGTCGCCATATTTTTTTTTGCCGTCGTTCCAAATTTAAATATAACAGCATAATTTCAACATTTCTATACCATACGTCAAACTAAACAGTTAACATTAATCTAAAACGTCCTTCACGCATTAATCAATATCATAATTTTAAATGTTTTTTCTATGTCATCGTTCTAAATTCAAAATATAAGTCCTAACAAAAATCTCATTTAAAAAAACAAATTCCATTTAAGAATGACGGATGTTAAACATAATAATTGAGCGGGTTTTTGGCTGCCTTTTTGAACAGCAATATTCACAGAAAATACATGAGCATGATTCATCAGAAACTCGTAATTATTCGATGTCAATATTTACTTCAGTTTGGTGTCAATTGAAACGTCATTTTGACAAACGTCATTTGAATATTTGTCATCAATGTTCTTACCCGTTTTGACGTTGATATTAATATGGAATTTTTTGGATTTATTTTAACTGCATGCTGGAGTGAAGTTGTTTTTTTATAATGTTTTCATTTACCGTTAAAGCATACGTAAGTATACGTATGATTTAACGATTAAGGACTCACTTTAACTTTACCAAGATTTATATACTAACTATAAAACATTTTTTCTGATGATCCTAATTTCTTAGCTCTTGGGTTTGATTTCAGTCAAGACAAATAATTGTAAAAGAACGATCATTTGTTTTGCGTCTGGGTGTAATTTATCTACGTGCATAAACAAACTAAAATACATTTCTCAAATACATATATGTTATATGTATATAAGTATAAAAACAACAATACCAACCGAACGGGAATGTTGGTCTAGTGGTTAGTGACCCTGACTGCTAAGCCGAAGGTTCTGGGTTCGATTACTACCCAAAACAAATATTGTGTGATGAACACGACCATTTTGTTCTCTGTCTCTGTGTAATTTATCTATAATATGTATATATTTAGAAATATATAAGTATGTCTATTTATAGTTAGCAGATTGGTTACCGTAATACAGGCTCTGCCTAGTTTGGGACCAGACTGCTGTCTGTGCGATATGTAAATTTATTATAATTCAAATAGGCATGCCATAAGCAGCGGTAATCACTTTCCATCAGGTGACCCGTCTGCTGCTTTGCTTCTTTATCATAAAAAAAAACTGGCGAAGAGATCGCGTATCGGGACATGTTTAAAGTCGATATATAATCTTAATATAATTATATTAATATAATTTTCTACATGACAACAACTGTATATACCAGTTTGTCATATATACCCAAATCTGACATATAAAAGTTAAAAAGAATTGTATATTAGCTGCATATTTAATAACTTAAACATTTAACATATTAATGTCCATATTATTAGACAAGCTGGTCCCGCAGTTGCACTCGCGTCAATGATCTCTGCTCCGCTCTTAATTGGTGTATCGTGATGTTTTATATCCCATACCATTCCTCAATGATTACTCTATCCAATACAGAATGCCTCATTTAAATCTGACTGACAGTTTCAGAGATATCGCGTTTTATAAACATACAAACAAAAAGTAGAGTCTAGATTTATGTATCATAGATAAATTTGTTTATGTATTTAATATATTCCGGCATTGGAATTTTTATAGTGATCATAATATGGATATGACATCTAATCAGGTTCTAAATTTCTTTTGACATTTGACAGTTGACGTTCGTGTCCTAGTGGCCTCTCGAATAACATGACAGTCGTGACCCTGGCTTCTGCGAACTACTGGTTTATGATATATAGGAGACAAACGTTCAATTATAACACCTGATGGAAAGTGACTGTCTCGGTGGTGCAGTGGTAGCATATGCGATTTCTGTGCTGTCTCGGATTTGATGCCCGGGTCGGAAAAAATATTTTGTATGATCAGCAAATATTTGTTTCGAAGTTTGGGTGTTTTACAAAAAAAATATAACTGCATAGTTTGAAGCTAGATGGTGTTTTGTGTCAAATATGCGAAAATATTATTATTATTTCATTTAAATTCATTCATTTCAATTAGATTTCCAACATTTTAATTCAAAACAGTTTAAAAAACATCTGATTACAGTTCAAACTAAAGTTTTAATTTACATATTAAGTTACTGTTAAAATACTCTTTAAAAATAGTAATTATTTGTATCCCTAATCCGGCACTGGAGTAATAATAAAAATAAATCTTGACGGTAAAAAAATCATAGCAGAATTACAGTTTTGTAAAAAAAACCCTTATGCGACAGCCCTAAGTTAATTTTGCATCCACTACACGTAACTTTAATGGTAAAATGACGTCACTATACACTTTTTTTTCTGTGCGGTACTCCCCCTGGATACCACTCACCAGTAGGTGATTATGTCGGACTCGAACCAACCAAAAACCGCACGCCGTCTTAAGTTACCAGTAGCCGGGGAACCAGGTATACCTTAGAAAGGAAATCCCTGGTACACGTCACTATAAACTAACATTTATTTACTCCGTTATATTACCAGACTGTATGAACAGTTTCTAAGTGGGAATACCGCATTTGATACAACAACCTGTCTGGGAAAGTCCCAGCACTGAGGAAAGGTGGGAATATTAAAATAATCTTTATGTAATTGCAGTCTTATGAACATCTGTAATTTAAAAATAGAAATATTATGGCTAACTTGACGTCACTACATTGCGTCTACACCAAAGGGGAAGTAGAGGCGTCATTAACGCCCACATTTTACGAACTATAGGAATAGTGGATAAACCTGCAGGACTGCACGGATGGCGTAGTGGTTTAAGCGGTCACGTCGCCGCTTCCTACTGCGCTAAGTGTTGTGGGTTCGATCCAGACATGGGACATCACTTTGTGTGATCCACGTATGGTGACCAGACACCTTTTTTTTCCGTGCGGAAATCCCCTCGGATACCTGTCGGTGGCATGTCGGACTCGAACCGACTAAAAGCGCACGCCGTCTCGGGTACTAATAGCCGGGGAACCAGGTATACCCTAGAAAGGAAGTCCCTGGTGCCCCGACATACCTCGGGCCATCTACAACGAGTAGACGACCCCCCCCCCCGTGTGGGAACCCCATGTTCCCTCTGCTCCCTGGAAGCGAGCGCGCTTCGCAACGCGCTCGCCGCCACCCCGGCCTGCTTCTGCTAGGGTGACAGATGGCCTCACCTGTCACCCCAGGCTTATTCAGGACGGAGGTCCTTCTGCGGGTGACCCGACACCTGATAAACATACTTATATATTTCTAAATACATACATTACACCTAGATTAAAAAATATTATGGTCATTACGCAATTATTTATTCCGGATGGAAATCGAACCAAACTCCGGCAGAGCAACAAACAGGCCTTAATGACCTATATATTTCTCGAAACTAAATTAAAATTACCTAAATGAATAAGCTGATTTTTGTATTTTTCCGTAAGCGGTAAAGTACGTGACTCGTTTTGAATCGCAGGGTAGGTAATTGACCGCTGGAAATTATTTACAGTATCTTCCCAATTAAAACCGGTATGACGAGATTCTTAAGTAATAAGCCCATTGCAGATCAATGGAATATTTATATATATTATATCAAAGCCGTGTAATTTTATGTAGAAACATAACATGTGTATATAATTATGTGCCATTTGCGCTTCAACAGTAATAAATGTTTTAATCATCATCAAAGAAAAATATTAATGGTGATAAAAAGACTTAATATTAGATATCTGGGGTCTGTTGATCTAGTGCTTAGCGATCCTCACTAAGCCAGAGGTCGTGGGTTCCATTCCCACCCAGGACAAATAATTGAGTGATAAGCACGATCTTTTGTGTTGCTCTGATGAGAAATAGGGGACAAAAACGCACAATAATATAAGACTGGCGGATGGCGTTGTGTTTTACTACTACGCGTTGTGGATCCCTACATGGGACGACACTTTGTGTGATCCACAAATTGTTGTTCTGAGTTTGGGTGTTCTTTATGTCCGTTTCATGAATGTTTGTAAAGTCCCCCGCGACACAGAATACATCCCCAATGAGTTGAAAAAAGAACGTCAAGATAAAAACAATCTTAAAAACGGGTTGTATGTCTGTCAAAATTTGAGCAGGATCGGTGCAGAAATTTTTGAGTTTTTGATGCGTACACAAACCAATTTAACATTTTTGTATCATAAACTCAAAATGTTCTCAAAAAGGACAAACCACTTCAAAGTTATTTTTCACCACAGTTTTGAAAAAAAAAGTATTTAAAAAAAAAAGGCATCACTAGGAATAAATCCTGTGTCGCGGGGGACTTAACAAACATACATGAAACATACACAAAGAACACCCAGACTCAGAACAACAATTTGTTGACCACACAAATTGTGGTCCACAACACTAAAAACAACAATATTTTTTTATTTTTTTTTAATCATGATTACATGAACCACATTACTGATATGGTTTAAAAGATGGCGATAAACTTGCCTTTTATACTTTTGATATCCGATCGTTATGTAGTTATGACGTCATAATAATAGTTATTACACAATACAAACTATTGTTAGTACTGCTTGCGATTACATACATAAGCTTTTTTTTTTTAAAAACACAAGGTCTGCGATAAGGAACGCTTGGTTTTTGAGATTGGTAGGAACTTCACAAACGTGTAACTCACAGATAGAAGGTATTAAAAAATACCTAAAAAGCATCATAAATGTGCTGTACGGGGTTCAAACCCAAGACATTTGGCTCTGTATCCATTCCACCTATTTAATCTAATTGTTGCCTTTAAAAGCATTTTTCAACATACACTTAATTAATGCCTAGTAATACTGGAAGACAGAAAAAAAATTAAAAACAAATTTCAAAAATAAAAAGTAGGGTTAGCAAAAAAATATACAAGTGGAAAAAATATTTAATATTTGTGCCCCCTAATTTGCAAGTGAGACTAAAATTATAGTCTGCAAAATTTGAGCATTATTATATACGTCTAAAACATCACATTAAGAATACGAAGTGTCACCACCCCTAAACATCCCGTGGGTGTCGTAAGAGCCGACTAAGGGAACAAACTACGCAGTACAACATCAGTGCGAAGAGAAAGAAAACGTAAAACAAACCCTATACCAGCCTGTCTTTCCAGAGTGCTATGGTAGGCCAAAACCGCCTTTCTCAGGAGAGGCCTATGTTCAGCAGTGGACTACTTAAGGCTGTTGATGTTGATAATAAGTCTGTCTACCCCTTTGCGGATAAAAGACGTAAGTGTACATTGACAAAAATTTCCAGAAAATAAGATAATGTGAAAGATTCTATAGTTGTTGATTATATATGGTTTAAAGTTTTAAGATTCTGTCTACAGTTTGTTGGCAATATAAGTCTAATATCTGTAAGAGAACAATCTTTATTCAAATAAATGTTATAACATTATGTGTTTTCCCATCTTCACAAAAAATTCTACCGGGAAAAATGAATAAAGATCCTTCTCTTACAGTTATCAGACTAACATTGCCAACAAACTGTGGAAGTATTTATGATAAAAACTCACTAATTACATACATACACTTTTGCCCTTTATCCCCGAAGGGTTAAGAAGTGAACAAAGGCGTTTTAAACGTGTATATTTAGCCGATTATAACTTTAGTCTCACTTACGTATTAGCAAGCCTATTATCGTCAACTAGGCGTAAATTTCTAAATACACATACTTATGCATCATCTTCATCGTCAACAGCCTTTAACAGTCCACTGCTGGACAAAGGCCTATCCTTAGAAAAGAGGTTTTAGCCTACCATACTACACTGGCCAAACGGATTGGTAAAGAGTCTGTTTCAAGTATTCCTTCTCTTTCCCGTCCTGCGTAGTTTGCTCCCTTAGTTAGTTTGCTCTTACGACAACCAAGGGAGATATACGAATATTAATCACCACACGGTCATTGTTATAAACAGTTAACATCTGGAATGGATTATAATTTGAGAATGGCGTCGAGTAACCTACATTATACTGCTGTAATAGTAAAATACATCTATATGTCTCCGTGTTTTGTCCTTCTAAACCTATGGCGCTAAATTTTGGTACAGTAACCTTTGAACTCTTGCATAATAGTAATTTATATGTAAATACAAGAAAATCCTATTAATAAATATTCAAAATATATACCTATCTTAATTACTGTGCTTTATTTCTAATTCATATCGATTAATTATTATAAACCTGTCCCAATATCGATATCGTCATTTGCGGTTATTATCGATTCCCAACTTTTGACGCATGCTCAGTACAACCAGCAAAAGTACAAATATCATCTGTTGCATACGACAGCTTCAGTCAGCCATTGCCCCGTGCCGCGAGAACGCGTCCACATTAGTTTCATTTTATTTCGTGTTTTCTGTTTTCAAAAAACCCGCGAAACCGTAAGTAAATAAACAAAAGCAATTTATTATATTCTTTTGTACGTTCGTTGTGTGCGCTTTAATGTGTTCTATTTTTAAAATTCAAAATTGGAATCAGTGTTGTGACATAAACAAATACTTGTTTGCCTTCAATATCGTGATTGATTATGCGATATCAATGAGATTTACTTTTCATATTTGTTCCGGTTCCGGTAGAGTGGATGCTAGGTCAAAACTTGACCTAGGCACTGACGTACCCATGTACGTACTACGTCAGCGCAATTAAACGCTGACAGGTTTTATATAATAATCTTATCACATAATCTAAAACTGTAATAACAATAATATTTAGTGCCAAGGTTATTTAAGACTAAATACTACGTAACTATTTTATAGAACCTTTAAAAATAATAAATCTGAATTTACGAGTATTTTCATGACTTTAACAAATTATTTACAAAAAATTTTTACTGTAGTTGCTAAACGCTAACAATTTTTTCTATGACACTCAAACATAATGATTGATTATAAGTTTCTAATCAAAAGTGTTCATCATTATATCGGAGTTTAAGAACTAATACAGCCTCCGTACAGTGCCATCAACTATAGCTTACATCTATACTCTATACAAATAAATAAAATTGGAGTGTCTGTTTGTAATATTAAAATAACCGCTTTTTAATAAATGCATATGTATGTTTACACGGTACATATGCCAAAATAACATTTTTTTCAATTTTTGTCTTTCTGTCTATCTGTCTGTCTGTCTGTCTGTTTGTTCCGGGTAATCTCTGGAACGGCTGGACCGATTTCAACGGGACTTTCACTGGCAGATAGCTGATAACATAAGGAGTAACTTAGGCTACTTTTTTTAGAGTAGCTTCGCCCCGCGGCGTTGCCCGCGGATATAACGACAAACGCGGGTAACACCGCGGGTCTCAGCTAGTTCTTACTATAATCTCTGTACTTGTCAGGGTTTATTATCGCCATACATTCTATACAGAAACTAATATCATATAGAGTATTAACTCGGTCAAGTATGGCAAATAAAAAAATAAAAAAGAAGTATTTATTAGTCATAATAAAGTATGAAGAACACTAAAATGGCACGCACATTATTATGATTACGAGAATTTTATTTGTATTTCACCTGTTATAGTTAAAAAAATTTTTTGCTGATATCAAATACTAACCATTACTATTTTAAAAAGTTTGTAAATGCAATAAATATATATAATAAATATTGTTGTGTAATAGATTTTTAACAGATAATTAATTAACTAATTGCGATATAACGAAACTATTGTTTGATTTAATACTGTTATATATTAATGATACTATAATTAAGAAATAAAACGATAACGACCAAGAACTAAAGTAAAAGAATTCCTTAAATTTTAAATGAGCAATAAATTCAAAATTTTACGGTTATATTTACAGCACTTTTTTTAAATTTTAAACGACCTATATTGACACAATAACGGTAATTTTTTTTGTTTTTTTGTTAAATAGAACAATAATTTAAAAAATATGTTTAAATTGAAAAATTCTAGTTCATTAATTAAAATTGTTATCCTTTCGAGAAGGTCAAAATACATATTATAATAAACATTATAACACGTTTACAAGTCAATTATTATTCGTGAATGTATTCTTACCTGGAAACAGAAATTATAAGTTTTACAACATTGGTACATTAAAATTCTGCATTTCTCTTCAAAGTATTTACTGCTTTGATACTCATATTTGAGGTCAGTTGAGGCTGTAAATAAAATATGCAATTTATAAATTTTATTAATAAATAAAAATACTCATCGATAGTTACAAAATAACAGTTCCAGCAGTTATGTACTGTTAACGAAAATCACAGTTTGAGCAATTAAAAGGTACGGTCAACATCACTTCACATCAGTGACTTTATTAAAAGTTTTGGCATAGATATCGACATTGAGCTTAACAGTATTTCTTCGAAACTAATTTTACCTCACTACTATTATAAGTGATTAACTTTTGAAAAGTATTACTGCGCCGCGACTTCAATTCGCCTCATCAATCATCGTCAGCAGCCCATAACAGTCCACTGTAGGACATAGCCCTCTCCTTAGACAGGAGGTTTTGGCCTACTATGCCACGCTGACGCCGGGTTGGTATAGGGTTTGTCCTAAATTTCATCTTTTTCATTTCTCTTTGCAGTGCTGTTGTACTGCGTAGTTTGAATAGAATTTAGTAGAATTTATTCTTTTCTCAATTTTATATCAACAATATAAATTGAATGTAACCAAACCGAAGGTATACTCTCCCAAATAAAAACAGATTTTTCTAAATCTGTATTTGTTCTTTTTTTAGACTACAAGATTACTCTTGCATTTTTTTTAAATTTCCTTAAAAAAAAATTATGAATATACTTCATAAATTCTAGATCAAACTTCCAGAATCTAAATAAATCTACACAGGATATATACGCAGGCCATATTCTTAGAGCGGATGTTCTTTTGAATTTTTCAAATAAAAAGAAAAACATTTTCACTTAGAATTTTTTGTTGGCAGTTGGATCTTTTCTGATTATGCCATCAAAAAATACAGGAGTTATGACAATCAATTAGGTATTACATTTGTAAATAATTGCCAGACGATAAGAATAAATTGGCCGTAATCACAGCCAGTCATCATACCCAAACCAGTCATCATACCCAAAAGTAAATCTAACACCTATTTATTCCGTTAATTTAATTGTCACGATGATTGTGCTAAATCAGTATTCATTTTTTTTTTTCATTTTTTTTTCTATTCATCAATCATCAACAGCCTATACTAGTCCACTGCTGGACATAGGCCTCTCCTTAGAAAGGAGGTTTTTTTCTATTAAATAATTATAATATGTTTAATCAGATGTTGTACCATATCGAACAGCCATGCCTCTTCACGGTCAACTCAACCCAACAGATGCCACGGTCTCACAGAAAAACGATGCTAAGCAGTTCTTTCGTTGCTTTTGACGGAGTCTGTGGAACGGGTTATCGTCTGCGGTACTTCCAAACCAATACGACCTTCAAAAAAAGAGCATTCTCCTTCCTAAAAGGCCGGCAACGCGTTTGTGACTCCTGAGTTGCAGACGGTCATGGGCGGCGATGATCACTTTGCATCAGTTGCTGCTCGTCTGCTCCCTCTGGCATAAAAAAAAAGAAACGGCGATAGAGATGGAATACTCAATACTCCTACACGACTGCGATTTAGTATTATCATTACGCTAGAACCAAAAATAATTTTGATTGCATTTATGTTTGTCTATGATGAATCACAATCACAATGTCTATGATGAATCATTTCATCATATGATTATGATTTGAAAGTAGCTCACGAGTCTCTCGAGTCGCATGTGTCTATGAGTGGTGGTCGTCACTTACCACTGCTCGTTTGCGCCTTAGATATGTATATATAAAATCTTTGTCGCTGATACTTCAAGTGAAATAATGCTTTTATTTTCGTAGCTATATGTTTTAAAAAAAAACTTTTTTTTTTTGTTGGCTGTACTAATCATCGGCAAAGGACACGCGTTCACTTTTGCAGCAAGGACGTTAGGTACTCAACTTAGAACTTAAACGTATAATATAATTATTTGCTGGCTGTACCACTTGGTGAAGGGGAATATATACATGTAACTAAAGATCGTCGGGCGGTCAGATTTCGAACGTTTTGAATATCTTGGACTATTTCTTTAACTAGTATATCTTGAACTGAAGACGGGCCAGTTGTTAGTGATCCTGACTACGAGGGTCGTGGGTCCGATTCCCATCCAGGACAAGTTTGCGGATCACACAGTGTTGTCCCATGTAAGAATCGAACCCACAATACTAAACGCAGTACTGAGTGCTTAAACGACTACGCCATCCGGTTTATTCCACTATGTTCACCCGGGTGAATGAAGTAGATTTTTTGGTTTCCTCATTTCAGTGGTGGCACTTAGGCTCATCCTTACCCGATGATCACCTGCGTCAGCCGGTATGAGAGGGTCCCGTGTTGCCTCTCGAGTCAATTCTCCATAACGGGTCTTACCACCGCATAAACGGCGTGCCAATTCGTAAACTCCTCCGTGAGGACCTGTTCGTTTGCCTACTATGTCATAAAATACTTCAAGCAATATATTAATTGTTTTCAAGTTTCTTCTTGTTTTCTAATGACTTGACCAAATATTAAGAATGATTTAGCAATACCTAGGTATGACGTCATATCTGCTCATCTTGTTACTTTTATATGCGAAGGTTTCGCGCATGTTTGTTAAACAATCACGCCGAATGGCTAAACGAATCTGGCTCGACTTTGGCACAGAGATAGATAATATAAATTAGCAAATATACATTTTGTTTCAAAAAAGTTGATTTAGGAAATCGAGCAAAGTTGCAGGCAAAAGCGAATTATTTCATACAAACATCTACAGAACGTTCCTACCGTTTTTAATATAGATGAACTGATATTACTTAACATTCAAATCTTTACATAATATAAAATGAGCTCGCTTTTTCTTCTTGTACGCTTAAATCTTTTAAAGTACGCATCGAATTTAAATGCACCAATAGAGAGAGTGATTCGATTATGTATACTCGTAATACATTCATATGATAATAGAAGAAACGCGAGAATTTCAAAGGTTTGTAATGTGAAGTCGTAAAAAACATGTTTATGTGCGGTTACATTGCAAACGCTAGCTAAACCTTACGAGATAGATCAAAATAATGTCCTAGGAATTGTATATCTTAAAAAAATATACATAAAACTACATATTACAAAAAAATATTGAAAATATATGAAGCTATTTTGAACTATACAATATTATTCCTTGTCCAAATAAATACGTTAGATACATTGTACATTTAATGTAGAGCAAAACTGCCCGTCACAGGATATAATTAAAATAAATATCTTAGTAGATATCAGAGATTTAAAATATGGAAGCCGCCCAGGTGGCAGCCGCCGGCAGGAGCGGAGCGGGCCAATAAATATTACATATAAAGATATGATGTAGTATAGTCTTATCATAATGATAGTAGTATTAATTACCGCTCACTTACACCACATTGGTAATATTAGTAGTATCTACATTGAACCCCTGCAAAGCTGGGCGCATGAATAATCTCTTACGCATGGCTGTATCAAGTACGGGCGGGCAACGTAAGGAGTGTCCAAAAAAAGCTTTAAAAAATAGTTCAAAAACAGACCAGAATGGCGCTAGTGCAGCTAAAGTTTCTGACGTTTACTCAGCAGTTATAGAAAGTGATGTGTACTCCGTTAAAATACGTTTATTGTCTATTAATATTTAATTTACGTTTATTGATTGTAAAATCCGTCTTGAGACTGCTTTCAGAATTAAATGTAAATTAGCGAAATCGCACTCGCGGCCGTCTGATCCCAAACGATGTGGAGCATGGTAACTAGACTATTGATAAACACAACTACATTATTTCACTGCAATAGAAAACTACAGAATGTCACAAATGTAAAATATCGAAACAAAATGGCCGACCTAATGACCTGGCATATCTATTACTAGATCGGCATACAAAACAAAAGCTTGCATTTAAATGTCAAATACGTGCTCGAGATCTCGTTTTAGTTAAAAGCTGGCAAGTAATCCACTTTCCTTGCTTTGTTATCAACAGATTTCTTTTTTAATGGCAATTAATAAAACCACTTAAATTATAATAATCTAATGTAAGAAATATTTTTTGTCTAATTGTTTCTTTAAAAGCGTTAATCTCAAAAACTATTAGTCAGATTTGAATCATTATTTTTTTTTGTATAGAGTGTGAATTGTAAACTATAAAACATCAAACTAAAAACCTTTCGGGTCGAACAGTGACCATAAACGCTGGTGAAAAACCTATAGTGACCGGTCTTGGCATAGTGGTTTGTGACCCTGATTACTGAGCTAGTGGTTGTGGATTCGATTAATCAAATGGACACGATTATTTTTTCTGTGTCTGGGTGTAATTTATCTATGACTCATATGCATTTAGAAATATATAAGTAAGTTTATTAGCACTATAGTTACTGTAGCACAGGCTGTGTCTGTCAAGTTATTATTATCATGGGCTAAGAAATAATCGAACATCTTATTCTGTGGCCATTATTATCATCATCATCAACAGCTTTTAATAGCCAACTGCTGGACAGAAGCCTCTCCCTAGAAAGAAATTTTTGGCCTACTATACCACGCCGGCCAGACGGGTTGGTATAGGGTTATTATTCTTCTCTCTGCAGTGCTGTTGTTCTGCGTAGTTTTCTCTCTAGTCGGCTCTTACGACACCCATGAGATGAATAGGGGTGGTGACACTCTGTATTCTTAATCCGTCACCACACGGACCCATTATTAAGTAAATTGTAACTTCTTCTATGACTCTGTAGATTCTTTTATGAGGGAACTAATTAGCTTTCAACAACGTTGAGACGGGTCTGTAGGTCTGGTGGTTAGTGACCCTGACTGCTAAGGCTAAGGTCTTGGTCTCGGTTCCCACCCAGGATAAATAATTGTGTATTAAGTACGATCATTTGTTCTGTGTCTGGGTGTAATTTACCTATAATATGTATGTATTTAGAAATATTTAAATACGTTACCATAGTACAGGCAATGCCTATTTTGGGATCAGACTACCGTGTGTCAGTTGTGTCAAGTTATTATTATAGTTTCCATAATTTCTTCTATTTGTACCAAATAAATTGACCTTTAAATTTTACGAAACACGCAACTAGAGGTCTCTGTGTTCCCAAGTGGCAATTACCGTAACAATGCAAAACCGGAAACTAAAAACCGCACTGCTTTACTAATAGGAAGTGGACCTTGGATTGACCTCAACTTTCATATGTAGGTAAACGAACCGTAATCAAGGTTACATATTAAAATGCTGCTGGCTACCGGTTTTTTCGGTATAGTTTCGAACCATTGCTATCTTGATTTTAGGGTTCCTCAGATAAACAGATGTTTTTTAAACTCACCGGGTCGAAATGTGGAATTGAACGCTTGTCTGAAATCTGACAGCCTGTCAATTGGAACTTTGTTATTCTGTAATAACAAACTTAAAATTGACAGGCCAGTCTAGTGGTTAGACCACTAAGCAAAAAGCCCGTAGCACAGTTAATATGTATATTATTATATCAAAAGTGAATAATTCATGTGATAATATCCCATATATGTATCTCAATATAATCTAATAAAAATAATAACATTATTCTTCACTTCACCACCAATTAACTACTTATCTATAAAAGATTACTTGAATACAGCAATTAGGAATATTCCCAGGTTCAATGATCTATCAAAGTTTCTTATCAAAGCTCTTTGTAGCACAGCGAAGTTATAATGGCCATTGACAAAATAAAATCTTGTACTAACGTGCATTTCAATATCTATTTCATAAATAAATCTGTAGAAAACGTATCACTTGTTTTGAAGGATTTCTTCTCTTAAATCTATTTCAAGAGAAAAAGAAAGGAAATCTTTTTAAAGAGCCAACTTGTAGACTTTTGGACAACCTGTCTATAAAGCAGTATAACACGTGGCGACTACTATATACAACGAAAAAACATACCACAGTGCCATCTAACGGAGACACACCGAACTACGTAGTAACTTCTATTCCTGGATCGCGCTAAAAAAGTTCTCTCACCAATGGATAAATATAGGACATCCCAGCAACCGTTTTTCCTCGGACCGTCAGGCATATTGTTGATCATGTGACCTGTCACCCATTCTTTAAGTAAAAAAAAAACACAAAAAAAATAAATTGTATGCGGAATCGTTTACGAAATTTGTACAAAACCGTTCCAAAACAACCTAATTAACGAAAAAGTTATAAAATGTAAATGTTCTATAAAATTCACTTAATTTAGTACAAAACAACACACATTCAGGTCCTAGTAGAGTACGAAATTATTAATATTACTGATAAATTTGAAATAATTAATAAATTCGTCTTTATCATCGTATAAAGCAAATAAATTAAAACAATTTCGCTCAGATAACCTAAGAGGTCAACTCAAATATTCACTTAACAGTTCTATCAGTTAAAACGCACACAACGGACGTATTTTAAACAGTGAAAAAGAATTCTGAATTTAAATTAAAAAAAAAACAAATTTATAGTAAATCAAACATGGCCGCTGTTAACGGAAAGGATTCAGACCCCATCGTACCTCCTTCGTCTCTGATCCGAAGGGTCAGCTCGAGGTCTATACGGAACTCAATTTCTGAAGAAAAGGAAAATGGGGAGGGACCCGTGAAAGGGTCCTTCGTATCCAAATATAAGAAAACTCCTGAAGCTTTAAAGACTTTTCATATGACTGATGCGGAAAGTGAATTGGAGGTACCAGGAACACCAATGACACCACGAACATCTACGACACCCGGTTTGTATAAATAATTTGAAAATTTCACTTTTATCGCTGAGGTTTGATTTATCAGAAAGAAGTGATTAAATTATTATGTTATCAGCGTTTTTGTTTCTTAAAAGCGAAATATTTGCAGTCACAAAAGTCATTTGGATAAATGCTTTAAAGAGTTTTTATTAGGACATAATCTATGGCGACCATAAAGTTTATAGATCTAAACAAAACAAAAATTATCTAGTAGATTCTAGATAAATTGTACCAATATGTTATTTATAATTAAGGATATTCAACAGTATTTAATTATCATATTTTTTAAATCTTCGCGTATTATAAATTATTTATAAGATCCATCAAGTACATAGCCGTTATTTTGTTATTACAATATTTAATGTATATAATACATGTTTACAAACACGCAAAATAAACCATTATTGCGACATAAAAGTTGTTGTTCGACTGTAATTACTTAGTACAAAAAATTGCAACATTACAGTAATGTTGCGTAATACTGCTAACATCCTATTTAAGCGTTCCAAAAAATTCCACTAAGGCATTTGAATAAGTTTATCACAATCTATAGTATATATAAAGGATTTAAACGTTATAATACCATTGGTTTTGTATACTTTGTTACAATGACCGGAGACTGTATTAAAAAAACGCCTGTCCTCAGTAACGGTAACGTTTGAAGGCATACACCTTATAAAGTTACAAACTTGCATGATTACTAGTAAAGCAGGTCTAATTTTTTATTACAGGTCACGAAAACTGTACCTTCCACCATGACCTGGAGCTCGATCACAGGCCACCAACTAGGGAGGCACTACTCCCCGATATGGCTAATTCATACAGACTTTTGCTTACAGGTAAACCCTTTTTTTTTTAATTATTACAAACTGGCTTCTGGCAGAATGTTTTTCATTCGTCGGGATTTTTTTCCTTATTGCAAGAAACGTGTATGCAAAATTGTTTAATGTTCGAAGTATCAGTACGGCAGTGCTTAAAATACGATCAAATAAAGTTTGATTTTTAGATGTAATGTATTTATTCTTTTTATAGGTTATTATACGGTTCTGCCAGCTATAATTGACAAATGCTGAGACTAATACCTAATTTTATTTTACTTAATCTCAGTTTATATGTAGAATCTAAAATGGCATCTTAAATAATAAAAAAAGAGTAAGATTTAAAAACAATGTTATCATAGGATTTATAAAGGTACCTTTTACTTGGGATCCAGAGGTCGTGGGTTCGAGTCCTAACCAGTACCCTATCGACGTGAACTCACTACTATCACAAGAAATTTTTCTTAGCTGGACTTTTCTTAACCGAAATTACTAGTATTCCCGTTAACCCCGGGAATACTAGTAATTTCGGTTGCTAGTAAGCCTTTACAAGAAGTAAAATACGCGTAACATTAATAAAAGCATAGATTACTATACCTAATAGGGACAAACGAACTTGACGATTTCTTACAAGTAATACAAAACTCTTAAGAAGGCGATTTCACTCACGATAGTGAAAGATAGACAATGTTAGCGAAAAATACCTTAAGATGCTTTCGAATGGTCAAAAGAATTGTACTATTAATATTTTTTAGGTCTTGGCGAGGACCCGGAAAGAGCGGGTCTTTTAAAGACACCAGAACGTGCTGCTAAAGCTATGCTGTTCTTCACAAAGGGCTACGATCAGAGCCTTGAAGGTAAACTAAATTTAGCTCCAGACACCACACGTTTAATTGAAAATAAAAACTATTTATTTTTAAAACTAAATTCAATACAAAAAAAAATATTTAATCAAAGTTAAGCAAGTGTGAATATTAACTTAAATATTTTTTGCAGAGGTTTTGAACAACGCTATATTCGACGAAGACACAGACGAGATGGTGGTTGTTAAGGATATTGAGATGTTCTCAATGTGCGAACATCACTTAGTACCCTTCTACGGAAAGGTGTCTATCGGTTACCTGCCACAGGGCAAAATCTTGGGCTTGAGTAAGCTGGCAAGGTAAGAAACTCAATAAATTTATCAATACATCAAATTATCGCAGTCCACTGCTCTGCTCAGGTCTAGCATCTGGTTCTTTGCCTTTCACATCGAGTGTATCTCAAATAATTTTAATAGTCCTCAACCTGACTGATGGCGCCCCATCTTCACTTGTACAGTGTTTTATATAGTAAAAAGTGTATTTCGTTAGATGTATTACCATCAAAAGGTTGTCAATGCTTGTCTTAAATAGTCAATCGTTGTAAATTTGATTTCGATCGACCGTAAAGATTATATAATTTTATCCAGGATTGTGGAGATTTACTCTCGTCGTCTCCAAGTTCAAGAGCGTCTCACCAAACAAATTGCCATTGCAGTAACACAGGCGGTTCGACCAGCCGGTGTAGCCGTTGTTATTGAAGGAGTGTAAGTATAAATTAATATAATGTGATATTAATGCAAAACTTTTTGTCATAATTATTACTTAGAATCTTCGTCGGTTTGATTGCTGTTTTTATAAATCAGGTCAGATTGAAAAAGCACTAATTTTTTTTATTATTAAAGTTCAATCCAGACTGAATAAATATATGACTTAAGTGGATCATTAGGTTCCCTACATTTTTCATAGATGGCATTGTTATCAAAAAAGGTGTTTTGCCACAAAAAAAAACAAATAATTATTAATTCTTTGTCGGATTAAATTTAATTTCACAAAAAACATTTATTGTTAATTTAATGACTTTATTTTTCGTTTTTATAGGCATATGTGCATGGTGATGCGCGGTGTCCAAAAAATTAACAGCAAGACGGTGACGTCAACAATGCTGGGAGTGTTCCGAGATGATCCTAAGACGAGGGAGGAATTCCTCAATCTTGTTCACTCCAAGTGAGGATCATACAAAATGAGGTTTCAGTTACAGCGGCCGTAACACTTTCTTTTGTGTTTATGTCGACAAAATATTAAGTGGAACCTAAGTCTCCGATCCTTTGCAAATAAGTTTTATAAGCTATTGGACAAAAAATCAGGAAATATTACGGCTGCTCTTAAATGTTTATTTATAATAAGTTAATAATAAGTTATTGCTTCTTATAAAAGTACCTTTTATAATTGTTTAAGCTAAAAATATTCCAGCTTAATCAGTTCCTATCTGTTAAGTACATTTTTATTTAAATTTTCTAATTTGTTTATAAACATTTACTTAAGTATGGCATTTATAAATAATAAATCAGGTATTAATTTCTCAAAATAAACAAACAATACTGCCTCAGTTACATATTAAGTCTCATAATGTTTTATTATTTTGCATTTTATTTTATTTTTATTTTCTGTTCATATTGTGGAAACAATTTTCAAACATTAATTTTCCATGCCAAAATTACATGACAATAAAAATTAACTAAATTAAATTTATTATTTTCTAAATGAATTTAATGGGGAATGTGATAACAAAATATATTGCCCAAAAATTATCACATTTTCCAAAAATAATAAAGTATATTTTAAGAAATTTAGTACAAAAACTATTATTAAAATATTTTGTAAAATGGTTGACACATCTTCGGACCAATTAGTTTTATTTATTTTTACAAAAATGTCAGACGTAAAATGGCTGACGTGTGACATTTTTGTAGATTTTATTTATTACTTTTTTTTTAGTATGAAATACTAAAAAGCCAACAATGTTGCCTTAAAATATGAATGTAAGAATTTTTGATGTGTTTTAACTATATCATGATTTTATAAATAAATGTTTTTTATTTTAAGTTAACACCGCTTTTTATTGAAATACACCTGCACACACCCTTTTAAGCATGTCACTTAAATATAAATACAATAACAGACATATCCTAAGCTGTATATTAAAAAATGCTACATAAGGAGGTGAAACAATTATTTAAGATACAGCTAATCAACAATAGTTTCAATTTTTTTTAAAGACACTTTCCGCACTAAGAATATATCCTATATCGTTGAGAACTTTACAGACAGACACGAAACGGACATATTGTTTTTTTTTAAATATATATTGTTTTTTCGATTCGAAAAGTTCCGACGAATATATATCTATGTTATACGTACTCGTATATACACAATATATGTTTATATTATACTAGTTGACCCGGCAAACGTTGTTTTGCCATATACATTATTTCTAGGAAATATTGAAAAAAAATTAGGGCTGGGTCACCCTTGTCATTTAGGAGTATGAAAAATAGATGTTGACCGATTCTCAGACCTACCCGATGTGCACACAAAATTTCATAAAAATCGGTCCAGCCGTTTTGGAGGAGTATGGTAACTAACATTGTGACACGAGAATTTTATATGAGACTAGCGGACCCGACAGACGTTGTCCTGTCAAATTTGACACTGCGATGGTAGCGCCGTCTGTCTGATCCAATGTAAAACATTCCAAAATCAACAACTACTAATAAATTAAAAATTAATTAAAAAAACTTGTCCAGCGGACAAAATTGTGAATCTAAACCATTCCCAGATCCCCTTGAACACACACAAAAAATTTCATCAAAATCGGTCCAGTCGTTTGAGAGAAGTTCAGTGACATACACACTCACAGAAGAATTATATATATAAAGATATAGCTATATTATCAATGTATTTCAAACCAAACTCAACTCTCGTGTAAACGGGACCAATATATGTAGATACTTATATGCAGAGGTGTCGGCAATGGTAACAGTGTCGCGGATTCAATGGTTTTTTCCCCATTCCCCCTGTAAAATTACATTCTTTTGTTTGTTGTTCAAAAATGCCCAACGCGCCTTTAGAAGTTTTCACTTCCATAAAGGCGAATTATATTTATTTTACTCATTCATGGGAAGTCTAACATATTAATGTGCGATAAAGCAGACCTATAAAACCAAATTACCCATAAAGTTACCTAAAGAAATATAAACTTCTTTATATTGAGTTCAAAGATAATATTAAGCAATAAAATACTAAAATTAACCATCAATACTTACAGGGCATTTCTTTGTTAGTTTACTTCCTTGGTATTATAAAACAATGCGTACTCCAAGCAACAATAAAGGCGCATCTTCTTATTAAACGTGTTGCCCATAATATTGTAGATCAACACGGAATTTTTCTTTAGTAACTTTGTTGGTCCACACTGATTTGAGCCACGAAATATGTAATTTATTTGATTAATAACAGGAAAAGCCACGTTGGTTTCTTTGAATTTCAAACTAGAGTTCATTCGCGTTAAGAAAAAATCGAAATTTGCCCATATATTTTTATCGTGTTGACTCAGGACCTTGACTTTTATACACCTAATAGGGACCATAGGACTCAGTATCTGGTACAAATTTAAACTTGCTAGGTCTACCCGTTCCTGAGAAAATCGGTGGTGACACACGGACAGACGGACAAGAAAGTGATCTTATAAGGGTTACTTTTTTACCTTTTGAGGTACGGAACCCTAAAAAGTGTCCTCACTAATCAAGTTCCAAGAGATTACCGCTTCGCTAAATTCGAATATCGGGTCGAAAGTTTGGAACCCAACCTCAGGTTCCAAGTTAGGGTGCGTTACTTGATCGATGCGACACTATTCTGTTAAGGCGATTGGACTATAGAATCATCATCATCATCATCATCAACAACAGCCTATAACAGTCCACTGCTGGACATTTACAAACCCTAAGTGCGCGAGTCAGACTTTCACTCGTCCGGTCTCATTACTGGTTTAAAATACCATGGTATTTTCTTCACACACACACACACATCAACGGCCTTTAATAGTCCACAGCTGGACATATTCCTCTCCTTAGAAAGGAGGTTTTGGCCTACTATACCACGCTGGCCAGACGGGTTGATATTGGGTTTGTTTCAAGTTTTCCTTCTCTTTGTAGTCCGTGTGGTGACAGATTAAAAAAAAACGCAATGTCACCACCCCTATTCATCCCGTGGGTGTCGTAAGAGCCGACTAAGGGAGCAAACTACGCAGGACAACAGCACTGCAAAGACTATAGAATGTGTTTCGTGGACATTTAATTTTGATGCTTAACTGCGTAAAAGAAACAAATCGTGTTGTACAAAGTTGCTGAACATGTTTCGAGTCAATTGGTGCCTATTGGATATGTAATAATTTAATAATAACTTGAGATATCTCACGCCCGGCCATCGGATCTAAAACTGGGCAGACCATGTTTACCAAACTGCTGATAAACGAAACTAAAAACATATGTATAAGATTCAGGAACTTTATTAATCACAAATAAACAGGAAATATCAAAAAACTTGATGCATGCATAAATTCTTTTAATATATTAAGATTTTGCGACAATTATTCATATTTTTTTAGAGTTTATGGTTGAATAACTAATTTTTTTTTAGTAACATAACTAAAACATGATCTTAATCTAAAATCTGCAGGATGAATGGCAATCTGCGAAAACCCATTGTGGTTTTGGTTTCCTAATTTACCTTTTATTGGAAACTATATAATAGCTGTACCCTGACCACACTTCGCTGTGGCACATTATGGTTGTATTGATGAAAAACGAGGAATAAAACTGACGCGAAAAAGAGATAAAAACAATAATTGAAACGGTTTCCGAAAAGTTCTGCATCAAGTGAGCTTAAATTTTATACAACCCGCTTCAAAGATGGCTTTATCTATTTTCCGCGTCAGGGTATTTTTCATAACAGCTTTATTCCTTATTTCTCATCAATGGTATCACAATGTGCTACATCGAAGTGTGGCAGGATATCTCCCACCTATTTTGTACGTGTAACATAACAAAATATTTTGGTTGGTTTCTTGTATCCGTCCGCGGTCTCACACCTACTTTCTTTGGGAATGTAATCGCCTTCAGGGGACATAGGACGAACTAATAATCGATCTAACAAACGCAACGTATACTGAGCGATGTCAAAATTTTGGCATTGTGTGTCCCATTACCTTAAAAAAATAATTTACCAAGAATTTAATGGTTTTTAAAGTTGTATCGATGCTCACTGACAAAACTGGCTCTGGCCTTGAATGGATGCAGTCGGTTTCCGATTAGTCAAGCGGAAGAGTGGTGTTGCCGGTGAACAGAAATGATGTAACATAATTGAGATGTTATTGTCTTCATCAATCATCATCATCAATCTGAATTAGATTATTATTTAATTATTCTTGCCCTTTTGTGTGTCAAAAAAAAATTTTTCTTCTTCTCTTTTTAAAGTTTACTAAGTGAGTGAATAAGTCACGGGAGCTAGAGTAATACTTAGGAAGGGTCCGGATGTCTTAATAATAGCAGTTCCCGGATCCCTCCTAGTGCACAGAGTGGCACACCGAGGGGATAAAAAAGTGGAAGAATTACTGTACCGGGACTGAGACTATGAATGAGAAGAAGGACACCAAATAGCCATTAACATCACAAATACAACCTTTAATATTCCACTGCTGGACATATGTAGGCTCCTTAGAAAAGAGGTTTTGGCCTACTATACCACGCTGGCCAGACCGGTTAGTATATGGTCTGTGTCAAGTTTTCCTTTTCTTCACAGTGCTGTGGTCTCGCTTAGTTTGCTCCCTTAGTCTCACGACACGCACGGGATGAATATGGATGGGGATAGACATACAACTATTGTGTTGACATATTTTAATCACATCACATCATCACATCAACAGCCTTTAATAGTCCACTGCTGGACATAGGCCTCTCCTTAGAAAGGAGGTTTTGGCCTACTATACCACGCTGGCCAGACGGGTTGGTATAGGGATTGTATCAAGTTTTCCTTTTTTTTGCAGTGCTGGTGTCCTGCGTTGTTTTGCGCCCTTAGTCGCCTCTTACGACACCCACGGGATGAATTGGGTTAGTGACATTCCGTATTCTTAATCCGTCACTACACGGACGGACGGATATTTTAATGGATATTACAAAATGTATCGAGAAATGAAGAAGTTTTAATACCCGTGAATATGTAAAACTAAGTTATGTATACATGTGAATATACCCTTAACAACTGATGTATACCGGTAATAACAAAACAGTAGTTTTTGTCCTCGGTTTGGCTCACGTTAAGTTTAGATTTTCGCTAACCAATAAAAGTATCAGGAAGTGATGAAATTTTATAGTACGTTTTTAACGTGGAACATGGAATCATTTTGAAAGTTAGAACTCTTTACAATTATATAAAATTGAAGTGTGTTTGTAATGACAAAATAATATGTTTTTTCATGCTCACACGATTATTTGCACGATACCTATGCCTAAAAACCAGTTTAAATATTTTTTGTCTATCTGTTTGTTTGTTCCGGGTAATATTCCAAACGGCTGTACCTACAGATTTCGACAGTGTTTTACTACAATGTAGCTATCTATAAAAGTAGTAACTTACGCTATTTTTTCTCTCAGAAAAAATTGCCCGGGCCGGGAATTGGACTTACTTAATCAGCGCTTTTCAAATTCAAATTTGGAAGTACGAAATAGGAAACAATCACTAGATCGAAACCGCGGCCTATAGCTTTCATTTCATATGCCTCTGCCCACCTGCCTCTTAGAGTTATAGGCGTGAGAATTTAAGTCGATAAACATATATTTATTTACTGAGACTGATCTAAGCTCTTAAATAAAAGAATGACGAATTTAGATAAGTATATTGCGTTTGATTCAACTTTCGATGCGGCGTTCTTAGGCACGCATTTCGTCGATAGTTTGCGCTCTTGCGTTCATGCATATCATTGATATCAGCATATCAGTGTAATGTCCATTACAAATCTTTAAAAGAACACATATTAAATTCGAGTATTTTATAATATTAGCTAAAGTAAGAAAATACGGCGCGTGTGGTGACGGATTAAGAATACAGAGTGTCACCACCCCTATTTATCCCGTGGGTGTCGTAAGAGGCTACTAAGGGAGCAAACTACGCAGGACAGCAGCACTGCAGAGAGGACAGCGTGATGTAGTAGGATAAATACCTCCCTTTTGATTAGAGGCCTATGTCCAGCAGTGGACTATTAAGGCTGTTGATGTGTGTGTGTGTGTGTGAAGAAGAGACCGGACGAGTGCAAGTCTGACTCACGCACTTAGGGTTTGTAAATGGTTAAAGAAGAATACTACCCCTGTTATTATAAATACAGTAATTCATACGGCCAGTAACTGTATGTTAACGGGTCTGGACTAGTTGGTGAAGGTTCACCTGATGGTTAGAGACTATTGGCGCCTATTTACATTTACATTTACATTTCGACTTCGAGTCTTCGATAATTTAGAGGGGGCGTTTGGGTCTACAGTACCCTTTCTCCCTCGGTGAAATACTTTAACGAAATAAATGTTACCGGTTTTCTGTGAGACCGTGATTAGTTAGGAAGAGGGGTCTCACTCGCTCAGTGAAAAGCAATGAAAGGATTGCTAAGCATAGGTTTTCTGTGAAGCCGTAATGTCACTTCGGTCGAACCGTCCCAAAAGTGAAGAAGCATGGCTATCCCTTGCTAAATATACCCCAGATTTTACGGGTTAACGAATACGTTAGTTATATAAATGAGTCCTACTTTAAACAATATCTATAAAGACATATACTAAATAGTAAAAACTGATAAGCGGTTAATTATTATTCATTAATTGTATTTATGGCAGAGATACCGATTCAATTAGTCTTTGGTATTTTGTTGATCAGAGAGAACATTACTAAGTGAGTATAATTAATATAATTTTAGTTTAGAGAGCTCTTAAGATAATTACTAATAACTTTAACATCAGTACTTTTAAGTCCTTGGTCTTAAATTAATAATAACAACATTATAATTCGACACATCTCACACAAGGCCATCTGAAGGCAGAACCTGTGTACTTTTAGTAACCAGACCGCTGACTTAAGTATATATTTCTGAATATACGTGAAGAACATTCTTTGCACCCCTTTTTGAAACAAATATGACGCAGATCTATAAGCATATTATGATTGGAAGATTATTGTTAGATCCCAAAGTGCACAAAATTTTTAAGCAATATGTGCCCGTGGGTGTTGTTACAGCCGACTAAGGGAGCAAACTACGTAGGACAACTGCACTGCAAAGAGAGGGAAAACTTAAAATAAACCCTGTACCGACCCGTCTGGTCATCGGAGCATAGTAGGCCAAAACCTCATTTCTAAGGAGAGGCCTTCATATATCCAACAGTGGAATATAAACTTAATTAACAAGTTATACTGGTCGATGCAATAAAAACAGACATTTAAAAATCTAAATTCGACCACACGATGATTTCCAGTATTTCTAAACACATAATATAAAAAAAATTACGTCCAGACAAAGAACAAACAATCATCCTGGGTGGGAATCGAACGCATGACTTCCGGACCAACAGGTCAGCTAAAAGGTCTCTTTTGGATACTTTGATCTAGTTATCGGAGTTTTTGGGGAAGGGCTCACGGGCAGCTGGGTCTATTGGCTGGCCTGGGTTAGCACATATTATACCACATCTTTGCCATTTTCAATTTCTATTCAAAAATTTATTAAAATAACTAATGTAGAAATAAAATGTATTTCTCTTAGGTGTAAGGAAGTTACCATTTCAAAAAATAAGCTTATAGTTTTTTACCATTTATAATAGCAACAGCTAGACTATACTTACAAGATTATTTTGTTCAATTGTGTTACAAATGACTTGTTAAAAATATCAGGAGTCTAAATCAAAGGAATGTCAATTTCTTACTGTCTTTTCATTTTCAGATCTCGTCATGAAGCTGCTAGCGTACTTCACGGCATCAATGTTAGTGGGATTGGCATCTACCGGTCCAACCTCTAATGAAGATGGGAAAATAGTCTTTCGCGAAGACTTCTTCGATGATAAATTTATCATTCATAGAGCCGAATACGACATTGTTAATCTGTTATTACCTCTGGATAACGTTAATTTTAATGAATATGAAGAGAAAGAAAGTGACAGTAATTTACTTTTCTTTGTCTTAGCTGATAATGAGAATGGACAAAAAATAGATAAGGGTCTCTTTGCACTAAAGCAAGGTAAAGTAACAAAACTGCTGGACTATGGAAGAGATGCCGCTGCAGGAAATGATGAAACAAACATTTACTTTGGTGCAAAAGATGGGTTATACTTTTACAATCAAGAGGACAATAAAGCTGAGAAATATGGCAATATAACAGACAGTATCATTAGCATCGCTAAATTCAACGGCAGTGATATTATATATATTTTGACTGAAGATCATATTTTATACAAAGTCACACAAGGTGGGATGAGAAAAGAGAAAATTGAAGAAGCAGTCAATGCACAGAAAATTGTTCTGGATTACAAAAACAATCTTTATTACTATACAACAGATAAACATGTATATATTTTGGGTCCAGATGGTGCCAAGAAAGTTACAGGTCTTGTCGAAGAACCAGCATACATAGATATCTTGAGACCGCCGTTAGTCGTTGGGGACGGAATCCCAGTAATACTAGACAATGCAGTTTACATGGTATCATCTGATGGAACGAGTAAGATAAGTGATTATCAATTCGAAGTTAGGCCAACCGCTTTCTCTTTGGATGCAACACTGATACAGTGTTTCGCTTACAATAAGAAAATCTATGAGTACAACATTTTATCTCTGTTGTTTCACCAATTAACTGATGATAGTGTCAACAATGTTTCAGATCACCAATATGTAGATTTTTCAGAGGAAATGTCTAGATAGTCAAAGAAATAAATTTTAATCTTATTGAGTAGGTGCCTAAATATGCAAATATATATTTGATTCGTTGTTTGACATTCGTCTCAAATTCCCGTTGACCCTAACATTATGTATTTTGTATTAAATTACATTGTATTGTATTGTATTGTATGTCTTGTATTATATGTAAATAAAATTAAAAGTCAAGCTCTGTAATACATTTATTTTTTATTTAATTAACATATAAGATTCTGAACCTAATAAATTTTAAAATATGGCAAATATTAAGAATGAAAGGCAATGGAAGCAATGGAAGGCATGGAAGTGCATGCCGTTTATACTGATTTCAGTAAGGCTTTCATAGATCATTTACTACTTTTAGATAAGCTAAATAGGGCTGGAATACATGGTAACTTATTTAGATGGTTTACCTCCTATATAACAAAAAGATCCCAAGCAGTAGCAATAAACGGCTTTACATCGGCGTGGATGCCGATTCCTTCTGGTGTCCCTCAAGGATCTTTATTAGGACCATTGCTTTTCGTGATCTTTATTAATGACATAAACTACTGTTTTAAATATGCTAACTTTCATGATGATACAAAGATATTTATGGCCGTTAAGAATCCCGCCGATTGTGATCTGCTACAGAGCGATTTGAATAATTTTGAACAATATTGTATAAATAATAAGTTAAGTCTGAATATCTCTAAATGTTTTGCTATTATTTTTACCCGAAAAATTAAACCAATTCAATTTCTGTATACTATCTCTGTTGCCGACGATGCCTTGTTGTTCAATTAAACTATGTGCCTTTTGGTTGCTACACATTTATTTTTACTTTTACACAGTAATTACAGTAATAATAGAAGAAAATGGTAATAGGTCGCCGATCTTACATGTTCCTTTTTGTTGTCTGTCAAAAAAGGGGGACGCTTCTTGCACCGTCTTTGTTACGTCACCTTGACGTTCAGCCAATCACGTTCAAGTGCGGAATGGCGCGGTTATTAAAATTAGTTTAAGCGTTAACAATCTCTAACAGGCCCCTTTCAAATGTTTCCAGTATAAAGGATCTAGGCTTAATACAGGACTCTAAATTAATTTTTGATAAGCACATTGACTCCGTCATAAAAAAGGCATATAGATCGCTTGGTTTTGTTATTAGGTCCACTTCAGAGTTTAAACATATTAAGCCCATAAAGGTGCTGTATTGTGCGTTGGTGCGTAGTACCCTAGAATATGCATCGGTGGTGTGGAACCCGTTTTACTACACTTATATCGATCGTCTTGAATCCATCCAAAAACAGTTTCTAAGATACCTGCAATACAAGACCAAGTGTACTGACCATGGTTATGAAACAAGATGTAGGAGGTATCATTTTCTACCCTTAAAGAATAGACGAGCTGTGTCTGATGTAGTGACACTTTTGAAAATGTCAATGGCAATGTCGATACCTCGGCCCTGCTTGATAAAATTAAATTCTCGGTACCACGAAGAATACCAGTTCGCCATAATCAACCCATGGCAGTACCTCGAGCCAACACTAATTACCGACAGAACTCATTTATTATTCGTGCAGGTAGATCAGTGAATGACATTTGTATGACGAGTTTGAAATAAAAAAATATACATCTTAGATTTTTTTGGCTCCGATCCTGATGTGACAAAGTATTAGAATAAGCTTTTTGGTCTAGTATGTATCTATTTTTTGTTTTGTTTTAGTGTTTTTGTTTTGTTTTGTATTTTTTTTTTGTGCTTCTTCTTTCTACTTGATTTGTGTTAACTTAACATTTGGAACCTATCTGCGAATGCCTGTCAATAGCAATGATGTTATTAGGCTTAGTTTCTAGAAAGTGTATTTTATGCTGTTGGTATTCCAAAGATAATAAAATAAAATAAAAATAATAATAAAATAAAATGGAGCGTAAGCCTCTTCCTTAGTCATTGCGAGGCCCCGGGCGAGTAAAACATTGCGAGGCCCCGGACGGATAGTCCCTGTCCTTGTGGAGTTAGTTTTAATTATGGTTCTTAACACAAATAAATCCTTTAAAAAAAGTTGAACTGACTGCAAACAATACTAGAGCACCAAAAAAAAAATTACAAATCTAAGTAAAAAAAAAAAATAAGTACCCTCAATATAACAGGTATGTACCATTATAATAGTAATCTCTTCTACAAGTAGTCTGTTAGCAGTCGGTGCCGGCCTATAATTATTGCGTTTAAAGAAGTCTTGTAGTATAATAGTCCTATCATAATAATAGTATAATATATTCTCTTAGTATATGTACTCCATACTGACAATACATTAGTAGTATCTACATTGTACCCGTGCGAAGCCGGGGCGGATCGCTATAAGTAATAAACTGATGAGCTCATGTTAGAAAGTCCACGCCAATCCTTCAGAGAAATTTATTGGTTGCTAAAACTCTTCAGTCTAAGTCTCTCGACTGTTCATAATCATGATGGATATTTTAACATATTAGCAAAACTTGATCTGTTCAGTTAGTCTGACGAAAATTGTAGGCGCTATTATAGCCAAGGATCTTTCTTCTATGTAATAAAGGGCAAACAGGGATCGGAAAGCGCCTACCGAGCCCATGGACACCTGCAAGTGCAGAAATATTAGTTAGTGGTCCATCCATACTTAAATTATCGGTCTGTCTGTCTGTACCAACCCGTCTGGCCAGCGTGGTATAGTAGGCCAAAACCTCCTTTCTAAGGAGAGGCCTATGTCCAGCAGTGGACTATTGAAGGCTATTGATGTGATGTGTGATGTCTGTCTGTAACTTCTTCATGCTTTAAATGAAAGAAAAAACGCCATCCTTTAAGGTGGTGAAAAGGGGGGTAGAAGTTTGTATGGGAAATCAAGAACCGCTGAACCGATTTGGATGAAAATTGGTATGGAGATACTATGATTCTTTGATATTTTGATTCTTGAGGAAAGACATTGGCTACTTTTTACCGCGATAACCGACATTTACGCGGACGACAAAGTAAAATACCAAAAAAAAAAACAGGCATATAACAATGCAAATTCCAGTAGTAAATGCAAATTAAATAAAAGACTTAATTAAATTAAGGATTCAATGAATACAAAAGTTCAACTATTTGTTTTTTAAATTGGCAGCTAGAAAGAGCAAATATATCAAGATTTTTTTTTATATTGGTAAAGAACAGGCCTCAATTCTGCTATTTTATGTTAACGCCAAGCCACTGTCTTTCCATTGACACGCCATTGACATCGGTCAAAATATCAGTATTCTACTAACATAAATTCACAATGTCAATAGACTGTCGATATAGTAATATAGGTCATCAATATTGATATCAACAACATTGCCATACATGGAAAATTTAATATATTATTTTCTTACCAATTTAAAATGTGCCGTTTACCAAACTATTACAAATACATCGACGACATTTGTATCAGTGGCAAGTCATCGAGAGACCATTGGTCTTACATTGTTAGTAGAATAGGAAAAGTGCAAGACATTCCATCGACAGTCTATTGATACACTACTAAAGTAGCAGAATTGAGGCCCAGGTCGTCCATGAGGTAGTGGAAGAAGTTTGTGTGATCCACAAATTGTTGTTCAAGAAAGAAAAATAAATTAGACAGAAACAATGACGTAAATATGTATAAATACATACATACGTACCAAATACATACACATAAATAAACCTACATATTAATAATAAATAAAACTTTAAGGTTGTAATGAATCTGCTAGGATGTGTTCTTTGTGTTCGTTTCTTAAATGTTTGTTAAGTCCCCAGCGACACAGGGTATACTCCTAGTGCGAGAGTTGTCTTTTAAGACAGAGAAAAAAATTCACACTTTCCGGGTGGTTTTTAACCTGCAGTGTGTAAATAAACCAAACACAGATTTTCTCATGAAACCTTTCAAGCTAAAAACAAATAATTATTGACATATTTCTTATAATAAATGTTACAATAATTTATCAGTGTGAGTACTCAGAAATCAGTAATAAAAAAGGTTATCAATAATGTATTAAACAGCAAAACATCAACAACTGATAAAAGCTTGTAAACTTGGGCAAAAAATATTTTCTCCGTGTGCCTAAAAATAAATATACTCACGGCTTAATAGCCGCGTGGATAAGCAACGTCGTATTAAACGCCGTATTGTCCGTGTGGTGACGGATTAAGTATACGGAGTGTCACCACCCCTATTCATCCCGTGGGTGTCGTAAAACCATGATTCTGAGTCGAAAATCAGTGGACGTAAAATCAGTCAGTGTCAGTGTCGTAAAATCATGTAAAATTGTTTATTACTTTAAATTATGTTTACCAAATGCCTAAAACATTTATAATAAAGCAAAATTAAACTATTTAGAACACATAAAGAAAATAATTTTGGCCGCCTAATTTGCATAAATACCATTATGTGCGACGATTCGAGTCGAAGGTCCAGAGGGAAAAGCTGGTACTGAGATGCCCCGGAATAGAGGCATAGAGATGAGAACAGTATTCGATATGCGGCCGGACTTGCGCCTTATAGAGCTGATGGCGGTGGGCCGAAGTGAAATACTGCCTCGATCTGTATAGCACACCGAGCTTCTTCGAGGCCAATTAGACCTTACCCTCTAGTGGCCCCGAAACTTCTGGACTAACTCTAACTGGACTTCGCTCGATATGTCAATGCCTAGGATTCCGATACCGGCTAAGGCAATTAGGGAGGTGCTCTCAAACCAAGGTGATACGACAAATGGTATCTTCTTTACGTTTATTTATGAAGAAATGAACATCAGAATTATTATTTTTTGTTTTATAAAAAAATTACGTGAATTAAATTAAGAAAGGAAACAAAAGTTTTGATAAAGTAATGATTACAATTTCAATAAGTTTACTGATAACTAGCTCGCGCCAGCTTTGGCTGTGTCACTTAAAAGGAATAAATTTTCCCCGTTTTTGCAACCTGTTTTATTGCTGTTCTACTCCTATTAGTCGTAGTATATAGCCATCCTCGTTATATGGGCTATTCGACAGTCATTTTTATATAATTTTTTTTTCAATTCGGCCCTACAGTTTCTAAGTTGAGCGTTTTCAACCAAACAAATAAACGAAATCTTCTGCTTTATAAAAATAGTATATTTGTTTTAGGAAACCAATTATGTTCATACGCTTTAAATACCTAAAAAATATAAAACATTAACAGATTCAGCCAATATTGTTTTTAGATGATATTAACAACTTACCTAATAACGCAAAGTTCTAAATATATAGGGAATATGGTAACCTGATAACCCTGAAATAGTTCCAGGCAACTTAAGATTATTTCGTCGTGAGGTTAAAACAACATGACGCGCGGTACTAAATATGTAAGTACATAATAAAAATATATTTAATTTATTGAGAATGTCGATCGTTAATACCACAGATTGGTAATCTGGAGTTTAAACAAACGAATTTCTTTATTTTTTAAGGGACTTTTAAAAAATAAACCTCGTGGTGACGATTAAGAATACGGAGTGTCACCACTCTATTCATCTCGATACTGTTGTAAGAGCCGACTAAGGGGACAAACTAAGCCGGACAACAGCACTGCAAAGAGAGGGAAAATTTTGCCACAAACCCTATACGCACCCGTTTGGCCAGCGAGGCCAAAACCTCCTGTCTAAAGAGAGGCCTATGTCCAGCAGTAGACGGTTATAGGTTGCTGATGATAAGGAAGTTCTCAATTCGGTTTTATATCTTTATTATGATAGGTATCGCAGAACATGAATGAAAAAATATTTTTTATGTGGGAGGATATACTTCTAGTTAACTTAGTAGAAATAAAAATACGGTTTATTTTATTATTATGGTGTAGGTGCAATTGTGGTGATACTTTTTTAAAGAGATTTTATTTATAAAAGTCTTTAGAATACATTAACGGTAAGAACAAAACACACTAAAATGTTTCCGATATTTCATGAACTTTTCACGCTGAGCTAATCTGAGGCATATTAGAATAACCCTCCCCACTGTGGAATCCTACATATTAGGTCCATGTTGTCAGAATACTGAGTTCAGTATGCCTCCTGGGTAACTACCCAGGAGAGCTTCACAAGGCTTCACCTTTTGACTCAAACTTGCTGTTACGATAAGAACATCGGATCTGGAGAGCTAGTGTGAGACTGGACGGATGGCGTAATGGTTTAAGTGGCCACCTCTTCGCTTCCTACTGCGCTAAACGTTGTGGGCTCGATCCCCACATAGGACAACACTTTATGTAATCCACGAATTATTGTTCTTTGTTTCCATTTCATGAATGTTTGTAGAGTCAATATATATTGTAGTGCAAGAGGTGTCTTTTAAAAAGAAGTTTTGCATAGAGATGGGACTGACATTGCAGTGCCTCGAAGAGTCCAGAATCTCGCGTCCGTAAGGCCATCATCCTATGGGAGACCACTAGAACAGCGCCATCAACTAATTACTGGTATAACCGTGCTAGTAGTTCAGAATGTACAATTTCAATAAGAGAATGATGATAGAACCTTGTTATAACATCTTATTATCATGCCATAAAGATGGTAGTTTATGGAATTCACCATTTCAACTTGTTTGATCAATTAAGGTCATTTGTTGGACATTAAAAGCAATAAATAGATAAGAAACTAATTAAGAACTTATCTCATTTATTGGAACGTTATACAAATTCAACTAGTCTTGTTAATATTACCGTTCTGTGAACACATAAAGTAAGTATTGACATTTCTATATTTTAATTTTGACTAACATAGTTTAGTAAGTTTGACTAATGTTACTAAATTAAACTTAAATATGGTCAACTTTAGAATGTACTAATTACATCATGTAGTTAACTTAGGTATTTATTTGAGTTTTCTGTTTCTTCTTATTTCTACATACACATGACTTTGCTTTTAGAGTTTGTTTGCCATCCTCTAATTACTCTCAAGGTTCCTGGAAAGAAAATTCGGGGTCGGATTAAGCTTGTCTTTCTACATATTTCCATGCTTTTTAAATATATTATCTATTGTGTATAATAAAGCACAATTAAAATAATATAGTAAGTAGGGAATCACAACAACAGCCTCTTATGGTCCACTGCTGGACATAGGCCTCTCCTTAGAAGTAGGGAATCGTTTACCTTTTTTTAAATTTTCATTTAGTATTTTCTATAAACTCCGTTATTAAAGGTGATCCGTGATATCCGTGAGGTGAGGTAAACATTATCATCATGATTTACAAACATTAAACTGTATCTCGATAATTTCGTGGCCACTTGCTACAGTATTGTTGTTACAGTATCATCATCATCATCATCATCAACAGCCTTTACTAGACCACTGCTGGACATAGGCCTCTCTTTAGAAAGGAAGTTTTGACCTACTATATCAAGCTGGCTATACGGGTTGGTATAGGGTTTGTTTCCTCGTAGTTTACTCCCTTACGACACCCACAGGATGAAAAGGGTGGTGACACTCTATATTCTTAATCCGTCACCACACGGATGCAGTATAATATTGATTTATTCAGTAAATACATCAGTGATAAGTCTACCTATTTAGATGATAAGTCCCAACCTTGCTGCTACTGTGTGCTATGGGGTTATCACCATTCGTTTCTGTTAAATACTGTCTGTTCTATTCTCGTTCGAAATTATACGATCATTGATTAGACGCAGCTCTGTAACTTTTGAAGCTAAAAAATCTACGAATATAATAAATTCTCTGTATCCAATATTCTTGTTGATTGCCTTTGTTCTTGTATTGCCTTGTTGATTGCCAACCTGCAGAACGAAGATGTCACTTGAAGATGAAAAGAGACTAAAATGGCGATTAGTTGTGTTCATAGTAAAAATTAGCGTAGTGTTATATCTTAATTGTGTATTTTTATTTTAAAATATAATATTTTAAACGGGTCTGTTGGTCTCGTAGTTAGCAATACTAACTGCTAAGCCAGAGGTCGTGGGTTCGATTCCCACCCAGGATGCGTGCTATGGGAGGAAAGTGATCATTTGATCTTTATCTGGGTGCAATTTATCTGTAATACATACGTTTTTGGAAATGTCTAAGAATGTGTATTTAGATGTATGTGTGCCAGGTTGAGGGCAATGCGCTGGCAATGCTAGGTACTACGTAAATAGGATTAATTTATAGATTGAATCTACTCTAAATTTTTTTTGGTTTTACAATTTCCGCTGTAGGAATATATCCGGGGAAGTTACAAACATTCATGAAATAGACACAAAGAATACCTAGACTCAGAACAACAATTTGTGCATCACACAAAATTGTATCCCATGTGGGGATCAAACCACAACACTGAGCGCAGAACCACTACGCCATCAGTGCTGTTGTGTGTAGTGCAATTTAATCTTACTCTTCTGGAGGAGCATGCTTCTGCACAAATTGGCAGGCGCCGGGCTGACCAGAGTGATACCTTGGCCTGACAGAAAACCGGTGCTAAACACAATTCTTTCGTTGAGTTACACCAAGGGGGCAGGTGAGCAGGGAGACACCCTCAGGAGACCCGTCTGTTCGTTTGCCCCCCCCCCCCCCCTCTTTTTAGGCATTGATTTGTTAAGACACTCATGTTGAATAATGTAATAGCAAATGTCATAGCAAAAAAAAACGTTCAATTTTTTTCCTAATGTATTTTATAGTGCCATTAATATGTTCTAATGTGTTTGAATGAAATGGTGATCTAATGATTGATTAATTGAAATGAAATGAGTAGGACAATTATTTGTCTATAAAAAATACAACCGACTTCAAAGCGCCTAAAATATTGAAGTAGAATATTTATATGTGACTGTCATCTACTGTCGCTTACTACTATGCTAAGTATTGTGGGTTCGATCCCCACATGGGACGACACTTTGTGTGCTCCAGAAATTGCCGTTCTGAGTCTGGATGCTCTTTGTGTACGTTTCATGTTTGATTAAAGTCGGATTAACTATGTATTGATAGGAGTTGTCTTTTAAAAACAAAAAATAAATCGTTACGGTACCTAATTTGTCGCAAGTAGACATACGAGTATATAATCTGAGTATAAAGGTTTTAAAAGCATCTGGAAAAACCTGAAAGTACTATCACTTTAAATTTACTTTAAACTTGGAAAAAAGTCGGCGAAAATTATATACTTAGATGATTTTTTTTATGTTTTTTATTAAAATTTCAAAGTTATGTATTTGTAGTAACACGAGTAGATCTATTAAGTAATAGGTATTATAAGCCGTAGCTCACTGCCCCGAAGGATTTAAGGGTGCTTTGTAAGGGACTTAGTGCCTCAACGACTCAATGGTACGCCTCTTTTATATTTAATTGTGAAGTATATAGGGTGGAACCTGGTCAGTAATTTTTTTTTTTTTTTTTCAAAAGACAACTCCCGCATTAGGAATATATCCTGTGTCGCAGGGGACTTTACGAGTACAAACATACATGAAACGGATACAAAGAACATCCAGACTCAGGACAACAATTTGTGGATCACACAAAGTGTCGTCCCATGTGGGGTTTGAACCCACAACACTCAGTGTAGTAGGAAGCGGCGTGGCGACCGCTTAAACCACTACGCCATCCGTGCAAAAGATACCTATAATATTTCATGTTAAAATGAGCATTTGGTCTAAAATTCTTCATTTATAATTTTGTTTCAACATTATTTACTGATACGTGTTTTGTTGTTGACTACAGAAGAGATAACTTCTGACTTATGAACTCAGTATTATACATTGGTGAGTAAAGTAATAACATATGTTATACCTAAGCATCTATCGCTTAAAACATATTTTTATCAGTTTTCCCTACTAAATTTCGACCTCTAAGCGACTTCTAGTATCGTATTATAAGATAGTATTCTCAATGAATATATGTTCATTAGTACGAAGCCCTCGAGTACCTCCTTTCTAAAGAGAGGCCTATGTCCAGTTCTGGACTGTTAAAGACTGTTGATGATGATAACGAACATAAACTAACTGCGCACTTTTCAAAACACTTTTTGCCTCGCACCACCAATCTGTGGAACAAGTTATCGGCTGCGGTATTTCCGGACCGATACAGCCTTCAAACCTTCAAGAAAAGAGCGTACTCCTTCCTCAAAGGCTGGCAACGTGCTTGTGGCTCTTGAGTTGCAGGCGTTCATGGGCGGCGGTAGTCGCTTTCCATCAGGTGACCCGTCTGCTCGTTTGCCCCCTATTCCATAAAAAATAAATACATTCGCATCTGAAATCCCTTTAGCGCAACGCGCCGTTCAGAATAATTGAGAAAAATAAAGTTGCTACTTGCTTGCGCAGAAGTTCTCGTGTAACTTTTAAGCCCATGATTTCGAGTCTTATAAAATATTGTTTTTAAATATAACCAATTTGCTTCATCTTTCTTTAAACGTGGTTACAAAATATCCAACACTCAGAAAAATCAATTCTTTTTCATATTTTTCTTTAAAAAGTATAACCGACTTCAAAGCGCCTAAAACACTGAAGTTGATTTTACACTATAAAAATCATAATAATAATAATGTTTATATTTAATATGTAATTTATCTCGTCACAAAAGATATTGGTACAAACAATAGATTAAACTATTTATTGAAAAAACTGGCTTCGTTGTGAGAGACTAGGTTGCCCCTGTGTGACAGATCTCCAGGCCCCATCCGAGGACACAATCGAACACCTATGTGTTATGATTCTATAATTATTTATAAAAAATATATAAAATGCCAGCAAAATACAAAAATAAAGTTATCAGTAACAGATGTTAGAGTTTAGTATGCATGCTTGTGTGTGTGTGTATGTATAAAAAAACTGATTCAAAATTAGACCATCCGTTTAAGGTATGATGCCACAGATACATTAACACTTTAATTTTTTTAAATCCACCCTTTTGCATTGAATATATCCTAAAATAAACGTTAACTAACTTACTCTGAAGTCCACCAAGAGATTTAAAACGAAAAAAAAGAAAACACATTATATGTTTTTACTTTTGATTAAATTTTACCTCGTTTTGTTTTTTGAGTTATGCAATGAGATACTTTTTTATTTGTTTATTGTTTTTGTATTCGTATATAAAAAACAAACATTTATAAATTATCCATTAGAAGAATTGTACGCACAAAGGCGAACATAACCTATAGTTGAGTTCTCTTCCACCAAATCTTAACCTTACCTTCCTCCTTTCTATGTCCAGTAGTGGACTATTATAGGCTGTTGATGATGATGATGTTGAAACCTTATGAGTGAACAGAGAATATTTAAAGAAAAGATACTTGTGAAATCTAAATTATTGATTCTCAAAACTAGATTATGATTTTCCTGATAATCAGGAGTTACATATATGATAGAGGGGGAGGTAGAATAGAGGTTCAATTTGAGTGATTTTAAAGTAAATCAACTCTTACTCAAAGCGCACTTTATGAAACAACTTTTTAAATTATTTCCTCATCTTAGAAAAGTGTTATTATTGAAGTAGGTGCAGAGGTCTCTTAAAACATAAGACTCATTTTATTAATTACATTTGTATTTGAATTTCCAGATCACAGAATGAAGCTGCTAGCATTTTTCACGGTATTTCTCTTAGTGGGATCAGCGTTTGCTGCGCCCGCTGTTAACACCACTGATGATACTGACGAGAGAATCACCATAAACAAAGACTTTTTCCTCGATGACTTGGTAGTTTACAATGCATCTTACGACGTGGTCAACCTATTATTGCCATTAAACGCCTTAAACTTTGATGATGATACCGATGATGAAGATGATGCATCTGAAGATCCAATGAGTGTACTATTCTTTGTATTAGCTGATAACGTAGATGGTAAAAGAGTAGACCAAGGTCTGTACATTCGTAAGAAGGGAGAAGTAACAAAATTACTTGACAATGGAAGAGATGCAGCTGCAGCAAACGATGACACAAAAACTGCTTACTTTGGAGCACAAGACGGTATTTATGCTTACAATGATAAGGAAAACAAAGCTGAGAAATATGGTACAATAACAGACAGCATTATCAGCATAGCTAAAGTAAACGGTAGTGACATCATTTACATACTGACTGATGACCACATTTTATACAAGGTCACCGAAGCAGGTACGACGAAGGCAAAAATTGAAGGTGCCGTGAACGCGCAGAAAATTGTACTGGATTACGAGAATAACTTATATTATTATACGGATGAGAAAAAAGTATACGTCGTTGGCGATGATGGTATCAAGCAAATTACAGGTCTGCCTGAAGACCCATCGTACATCGAACTCCTGAAACCACCATTTGTTTTAGATAATGGTGTACCAGTAGTTGTAAACGACCTTGCTTATATTGCGTATCCCAATGCGACTAGTGAAACGAGTGAATTTGGATTTGAGACCAAGCCTAGTGCTTACGCTCCAGAAGCTACGCTCATCCAATATTATGCTTACAATAAGAAGATTTACGAGTACAACATATTGACTCTTCTCACAACTATTGTATCTAGTGAGATGCAAAGTTATCTTGAAGGTAAGGCGGAAACCATATCGGAAATTGCCACCAGGTCAAGAAGTGACTTAGTGCCATAAATGATGAATGAACAAATTCGCTTCGTTTCGTTTGCTTTATTAAGAATTTTAATAATAAAGTTGATATTAAAAGATTGCAGTTGTTCTCTTGTTCTTTCTATCTGTCGTTTGATGATTGATGAACTTTTTTTATAGACTAGAGGGTAAACGAGCAAACGGGTCACCTGGTGGCAAGTGACTACCGCTACCCATGGTCACCTGCAACTGAAGAGGCACATGTAGTACACAGTTCAAGTATGTCTTCGAACTAAAGCCACAGAATATTCCGTCACATGTACATGTAATACAATGGGCTCGGATATATCCTATTAAGGAAGTCCCTGAGAACCCCGCCGACCTGGTGCACCATAGGCAGTCACACTAATGAGTGCATAGAGTCTTGCCCTCCTTCTATTTTTTGGAGGTTTGCGCGGAACCCGCCATGCCACTGTCTCAGGCCTGCTTCTGCTAGCGCAACGGGCATCCTTACTGTTATCCACAGGCCAGCGCTCATTGAGGTCTGAGATCTTGCTCCACTTACGGTCAGTCAATCTAGCTTTCATAGTACAAGCTCAGCTTAGGTTTTAACTAGATTGCGTTATGTTTCAGATATCCGAAATATAAGACTTGTATACTTTTTTGTAGAAGTCAGCACAGCAGTCGCGTACGCTACCAATACACAACCGAGGCCGTGCTTACATAAATATTAATACATTCTAAATTTGCTGAACCCTACCTATTCAAAAATTATAATGCTTATTCGAATATAATAATATTTCGCTCAGTTACACAATCTCTACAAAAATGATAAAAATGAAATCGTACATCAATGTACCTACTTGTTTCTTTTATGTAGCATTCGATTTGTAGTCAGTTTCAAAACGCTCAGATTATTATAATATATATCAATACTAAATTTACAATTTTCTTTGTTAGTTCCTGCTATAAATTTCTGTAACGTGGTCAGGGAGGGGGTCGCCCGCGTGCGCTAACACGTGGTCGATCCGGTGATTAAATGATGGAGAGAAATTGTACAAGGACACTGTCACAGTTTATAATTGAATTTGTAAAAATATTACGTATAGTACAGATACCAATTTCGAGTTTATGGAGACAGAGTTAAGCTTGGAGCGGGATTGGGGAGTCTTTGATCAGGGTGGCGGGTGGCCGTGGTAGGTGGAGAAACACTTAATTTGTATACCGACCGGAGCGAAGAGTGCCCCTCACCATCGGGTGAGGCGATGAGGGGGCGGTCTTGGTGGGAAAGTGGACGGTTTCACGTGACATTTCTTAAACTGATTCCTATATATATATATGGGAATAACTACAGTTCAGTTCTATGTTATGCTTCACTACTACTGTCCCTACACTACGTGACAGTATATTGGGTTTTAGTTTCCCAAGAATTGAGACATCCTAACAATGTGAAGCGTGTGGTGACGGATTAAGAATACAATGTCACCACCCCTATTCATCCCGTGGGTGTCGTAAGAGCCGACTAAGGGAGCAAACTACGCAGGACAACAGCACTGAAAAGAGATGGAAAACTTGAAACAAAACCCTATACCAAACCGTCTGGACAGGCCTATGTCCATGTAAAGTAGAAATAAGTGTATGATCTCCTTCAACTCAGGGACTTTGTGGATGCCAACTGGGAGATATGAGTTTCCATCAGCATTAAACTCTAAGCCATTATGTTTGGTTAATTTTGAAATATCTTAATATATTGGTGCGTGGTATTTAACATATGAACAATGTAAAAACAAGTTGAAATTATTGAAATAACCTACTGCAAAGGTTATGTGGGGTATGGTGAGTACTGATTAATAAATGAGACCACGTATTATATATACCAATGTGAAGTAACGGGTGTCATGTCCCTCCAACACAAAGGGAGGATCCTCCGACGAGGCGAGGTGATCATGCCTGACGGGCCGCGGCCCAACGGTTGATGTTAGGAAGTTTCTTCATATCGCGATACAGGATTAGCAATTCTCTTTCACGAGTTACTCCGTAGTTCGGTGTGTCTTCGTTAGGTGACGCTGTAGAATGTTTCTGTTTCTTTGTATATGGGAGTCGCCACACTAATATTATAAAGAGGTAAAGTTTGAGAGTTTGTATGTCCGGGGTCATCTCAGGATCTACTGGATCGAATCGAAATCATTTAGTGTTGGATAGCCCTTGATTCGAAGAAGGCTTTAGGCTATACTAGGCTATTAGACGAATTGGAGCTGAATATCAATGAAAAATTTTGCGACACCTTACTTTTGTTTATTCCTTTTAAGGAAAACAGAAGAAGTTGCGCGGGTCAGATAGTTGTCGATAAAGAAACAATTCATCTACTGTTGATGGGCCTGATGGTCCAGTAGTGGTTAGTGACCTTGGTTGGTTGGGTGGTTTGATTAGAAACACATTATTCTCATCTTCACATCACTTAACTAAGTTTGTACAGTTTTACATTATCTCATGTTAAACTTACAGAATAATTGATCAATAAAAACTGCTTCATCAACAGCCTTCAATAGTCCACTGCTGGACATAGATCTCTCCTTAGAAAGGAGGTTTTGGCCTACTGTACCACGCTGGCCAGACGGGTTGGTATAGGGTTTGTGTCAAGTTTTGCTTCTCTCTGCAGTGCTGTTGTCCTGCGTAGTTTGCTCCCTTAGTCAGCTCTTACGACACCCGCGGGATGAATAGGGGTGGTGAAGTCTGTATTCTTAATCCGTCACCACACATTATTATTATAAGCAAAAAACTGGTTATAATAATAATAACAATCATTTATTTCAGACCGTAGTAATGCAGTCTGCTTAACTGAATAATATAGTTTTCTTTGATATATTTAAAGTCACATTTATATAAAGATACTTTATATGAAGATTTAATTAAACATCATCTTCATAAACAGCCTTTGTTAGTCCACTGCTGGTCGGCCTAAGTCCAAATTTCCTTCTCTTTGCAGTGCTGTCGTTTGCTCGATTAGTTTGTTCCAGTAGTTTTGCTCCCTTAGTCGGCTCTTACGCTACCCACGGTATTAATAGGGGTGATGACACTCTGTATTCTTAATCCGCCACCACACGGAATGGAATTCTAATTGAACAGATAATCCGAATAACAGTCTTAGAGTGGTATATCTTGTAGAATACACAAACATGATACAAACTACGAGCTTAGTGCGAAAACCGCTGGTAATTGTTCCTTGTAGAAACAATTTAAATATTTTGAAATTAGCGTAGGTACATATAAATAAAACATAAATAAATCATAGACATCTGCACCTGTACACAAAAAATTGTAACGAAACCTATCAGGCGCGATCTTTGTATAGGTTGGGGATTCGGATTTAGAAATATGTCATCTGAGCTTTCTGTTGATGCTATTCCGAATTCGTTTCTCTCATCTGAACTTCTTCATCCAAATCTGATTGTTGTCGGGTTTAACATTCAGATTGTAATTCCTGCTCATATGCTTTTAACGGTTAAAATAAACATATACGAGTATGTTGCGCCATCGAGTACCGAGTAATACAAAGAATTCATAATTCCGATACATGCTGCGACATCTAGTGTCGAGTAACTGAAGATTATAGCCTCTAGACATTCCTTATTATTTGGAACGCTCTATCGAATTTTAGGGATTATTCTAGTTATTTCGCTAGCCATATACTCGTATAAGCGGACCGTGTTGGCCTTACGAGTGGGTATTGTCTTACGCGATCTTCTAGTGCGAATAAGGAGTTATTGAATATAATAAAAGAATGAAATAACAATTATAGAATTCGAAAATGGAACTCTTTGGGAACATGTTACTTTTTAATTTGCAAGACTGTCATTTGTTTTTTCATTCATTTGTCCTTTCGAAAATGTGTGTCGCCATCAACATGAATTTAACTCGTGAACATTTTCTTTCAATGATTTTTTATGATTTTCGTTGTGGCGTAAGTCAACAAGAGTGTTGCCAGAGACTTCAATTGGCATTTGGTGATGAAGCACCATGTCGCAGCTCTGTGTATTCGTGTTTTGGAGAATTTAGACGTGGACGTGATCATCTCCATGACGAAGTATATGAAGGTAGGCCGGTAACAGACCCTAATATTGACACCATACGACAACTTATTGAAACTGACAATAAAACTACTTACTAGCAAATTCGTGCTTCGTGAGGTTATAGGTTACGCTCTACCTTTTTTTTGTTTTTGTCACCCGGGGAATGCTTTTCGCACCATACCCTCCGTTGGGGAAACGCAGGGCGTGTGTGGGACTCCCGGAGAACCGGTCTACCCACTAAACCCCGCGGCGGCCTACCTCGGCAGTCGGGAGGAGCTCCAGGAACGCATCGGCGACTTCTGGAGTCCTCCCTGCCGTACCTCATGTCTGAGGCACATCCCGGAGTGACCGTAGTCACCCTGGGGCAGGACGCTATCGCGCCTATCACTGCTCTACAGAGTAAAAGGCGCAACGGCGTCCCGCCTTAGACGACACCCCCCCGGCCGCACCGGAGTGTCATCCGTCTCGGGTCGTTTACAGCGGTCACATCGCCCCAAGATGTGGCCGCAGTGACCCTTAGGCGGCGATTGGGTAGTTAGCGACCTCTGCCGCGTCCCCTTCGCCGCCTCCTTCGAGCGGGATCGGCCCTCTCCTGATCCCGCTCTGCGGCCTCCTTTTGAAGCATAACGTCCTCGCAGAAGGAGACCGCGGCTGCCCATCCCTCGCCACTCGCCAGCATTGCCGCGATTAATGCTGGCGGTGACAGGTTTCGTCCGATCTGTCCGACCAAGACTGCAGTCTGCTTAACTGAATAATATAGTTTTCTTTGATATATTTAAAGTCACATTTATATAAAGATACTTTATATGAAGATTTAATTAAACATCATCTTCATAAACAGCCTTTGTTAGTCCACTGCTGGTCGGCCTAAGTCCAAATTTCCTTCTCTTTGCAGTGCTGTCGTTTGCTCGATTAGTTTGTTCCAGTAGTTTTGCTCCCTTAGTCGGCTCTTACGCTACCCACGGTATTAATAGG